TTTTTTTTTTTTTTTTTTTTTTTTTTTACAAAAGGAAGATGAAAATGGTATGTTATAAAGCACTTATGCTACATGAACATTTTAACATACAAACTACCCTGGAACGTGTTCATCACCGCGTGTCGTTCCCCTGACAGCTCGAAGCACCAGACTGCTTATCCTCTACCGGCTGGGCTTAGACGGTGTGACGTGTGGGCTTAGACGGTGTGACGTGCCGGGGTATTAGTGCACCGCGATCTTCAGTACAGGTGATCATACGCTGCTCCAGTCGCTCAAGTCGGCCGGGATTCGCTTGGGCTAACCACGGACCATTTCCACTTCGGCTTCGTCGGTGCGTATGTCAGTGGTCGGCGTGGTAAGTGTCAGCTGCATGGTAGGATGACTGCGATGAGGTAGGAGTCGAGTAAAATCAATTTGGAGAAGACATCTTGAGCAGTGGTGTAACTTTGTTGATCTTAGTGGCTAGCTGGCCGACTCTTCCCCTTTATGCCTTGAACCCTCATACGTGTCTTGTAAAGATGTTAAGTATTCCATTGTTTGCTGTTTTTGACCTTAAGGAAGTTGCATCATCTGTCAGATAAAGATTCTGAAAGGCCCACGCATTATCCCGTGCTCCGATTGGCCCGTCTGCATATTCTGTCGGATAAAGTTGTTGAGGTTGGCTCTGCATACCCCATTAAAATTCATTTGTGCAAATGAGCCAATTGTTATGCTAATCCGCCTATTTTTTTCTGCACTATGCAAGGCACACCATGAACATTATGTGGGCCGTTCATGATTAGGAGGTGCATCATTTGTGCACGTATCATGTATGCAAGCCTTAACCCAATCTTAAAGTCTTGTGACAGTCTTTGTGTTGTTATGTTGTCTCTCTTCCGATTGTCATTACTGACTGCTGTAACGTGAAGAAACCCAAACGTCCACAAGGATGATATTTCTTACTACATGCAGGAGGGATGTTCCAGTGGCCCATTCCCGGCCACACAGTGGGAATCAATGATAGCATCCCCTTAATTTACGCATATGTTTTGCTCTCAGAACAATTAGCACAAAATTATTCATGACGATTTATCTGTTTTCTACGAATAATTGATATGTCCGGGAAAGGCCGAATGACGCCGAATCACGTCGGACGCACTTCGTTTTAGGCATGCGCTGTTGGAATACCAAACTGGCTCTTAGTACAAAACATTATTCACAATGATTTCTCTCTGTTTTCGATTAATGATTCCTACATCCTTTGCCCTTCATTCAAGTAAACTTTAACACACCAAGTCGCGTCACTTCTACGCAAAAAGACTCGCGCCAGTCATATCTAGAGTATGTACAATAAGGAACAAAAACATAAATTATCTGTAAATTCTGGTACGAACAAGGAGAAACCAAATAGGCCAACTTAATGGAGGAGACAACAAAATTACCAGACGAACCAGCAGGTTGCTGGCGCACCTGACTTCATTGACACCATCCACTGGTATTTCTGATAATACCCGCATTTTTTTCCACTGGCAAATTTAAGATGTTTTTGTGGAAATTGCGTTCAGTTTAATTTAGTGGGGCCTTCAGACCTCATCAGCTGAAAAATTAAACACTAATGAAGTGCCAGCGAAATGAGGAAAGCTCTTCATATAAGTTGTTCATTATGAAGTAATTTCATCTTTAATCTTTTCAAAGATGCTGGTTGGGATTGGGAGGGGTATGGCATGCATTTCCCTTATCTGGTTTAGGACCAAGGAGACTGTGAAACGGCTCATAGAGTCTGATTATATGAAAGACTGCTGCAAGCTACACGGTATCGAGTGTGCGCTGGGATGAAGCAAAGACGCATTTTCCATTTCATTTCGATGACCGTATTAAGGTCAAAACAAAAATACGTACATCGGTACTGGGCCAATGCCCTGCATCATTCATATAGCACTTTGAATTTATTTATCCTGAAAATCGAAAGTGGCATCTCTCGTTTTCTCAAGTTCCTTTCTTCTCATAAGATATACATAATTCCGACGGTTGAAAGCCGTTGTTGTCTCATTATACGTTTTAAAGTTGGAACGCTTGTTAATTTGAATAGTACATGTAGTTGTTTACCGTTATCCTTGGGTCACACAAACTCGTTATTCTCGAGTGTTTTTATTTTAGAGGCGAAGCTTAGGGAATTGTCTTTGCACTTTCAAGTGTTTATTTCACGGTTTAAATGGTAAGGTCAAGGACAGCCTACTTGGGCTCGGAAAAGCGTGTTTTGGTGCTTAACGGTACGATTACAGGTCTCCTATTGGTCCGTTTGGCAGAAATTGGTTGCTGAAGTGCCCCAAGACAAGCCAAAAATTGCTTATAAAATCATCAGCAGAGACCGTGAATTCGTTATTCCCGGCGATTCAACACCTGCGCAATGATGTTGAAGATTGTCGTGCTTGCAGTGTTGGTTTCCACGGCTTGCTCCAAGCCTGGGGTAAGTTACTTCTGGTCTAGCCACGCGCGCGCTCCGAGCTTGTATTCACACCTTAACGCTTATCATTTACTGATTGGTGACATTTAGGAATTGTAACAGTTATGAAGAACTATTTTTTGACAGGGAGTATCAAAGAGACAAGGAAAACCTGGGTTAATGACAGCGTATCTACCAGTGTCAAGTCCTTGACTGAAGTACTCGGTTTTTAGATCTCTATAGTGGCATAGTTCGCAACAGCTCAACGGTTTGCTTATGTCTAAACATGTACCGAACATACACGTGAACTGTCTAAATTCAAACTTAGTTAAGTGAAGTGAGTCGTCGAAATTATACATCTCTGTCATGTATATTTGGAAGAATTCAGCGTGAGTTGCTGTTGTGTTATAACACAGGTGTTGAACAAAGACGATGAATTTTCTACCGAGGAGCTCATTCGTTACTTCGGTGTTGAAAACCACGCAGAAGGTAAACCTTCAGAACCAACCTCACTCGCAGAGAGAATCGCAGGGTGATAACACAAACCTTCGCCTCATTGTCACGTTCATCATGAAAACCTCCCCCAGATCGTATTTAAGAATGAGATGGCTGTGGTTTTCCATCGTATATACAATCTTATCCATAAAAATCACCAAAAATCCTCCACAGTAAATTGGAACCTGCCTTCAGATTTTGTTTGAAATAAATGCAGTCCTCGTTGAAACTAATTAGGGGCAATCCTTGTGAAGAAGTAAGCAAGCAGTGACGTACATGGTATGGTGTTAACACAATGTCCTTCCCTTTCAGCCCCAGAGTATGAGGTCGTGTACCCACTCGTAGTCGACGCTGACAGCAAAAGGAGTGTTGGCAACGGAGCCATTGCAGCCTCTTTCCTAGAACTGGAAGTCGAAGCCTTCGGAGAGACACTCATCCTCAACGTGGACCACGATGACAGCAACTATGCCCCCGGGCTCGAGGTTGAGATTTACACCGATGAAGGCATCCAGAGGGTACCACTCAGGACAGACTGCGTCTACACGGGGAAGGTAGCTGGGGAACAGAACTCTATCGCTTCAGTTACCACTTGTGACGGCTTGGTAAGTCCCACGCGCAGCTTACACTTAATAGTTATGTTTGCACATCAGTTGTCAAATAATTTTGCAGTTTGGGAAGACATGTTCTGGCTTAAAAACAGGAACAAAAAACGGCCTTAGACGTCACACTTCACTTTGTCATTCTACAGCGGTGCTAAAAGGTTTCTTTTTTAAAATCGAAATGATTTGTTTTCATGCCAGATGGCGGTGATATTTCGCAACGACGGGCGCGGTGAGCTTTACATCGAGCCACTAGAAGACAAACATGCCGCCAAAAGGGATGTTGGGCGTGGCCACCCGCACGTCGCTTATAAGAACAGACCACAAAAAGGCGGAGCTTTCTGCTCAGCTATCGGTAGGTCGCCTTTTACGAGGTGATCGGGCTGGACCTGGTCACCTCTTTCTTTGGTATCGTCTCTTTGTATTCTCCGCCGCTCCCCACATCTTTGTCAAGACAGTTATGTCAGTTTCAGTCCATGGACCTTAAGTTTCTCCCAAATAGTCACGATCTTTTGGTCTTGGAACCAAACTGACTCCGCCTCCGCTACATGAATTTCCAGGGCCGGACACCTTAAGGATTTTGGTCGTTACCCCCTATGTGCATATTAAGTTTTGTATGAGACCTTTTGACGATCAAATGAAAATTTTAATTTATTGATTTTCAGTCACAGTGACGGTATTAAATACGAAAGTAGGCCAGCTTCTAATGACAACCTGGAGTTTTTCGGTTTTCCAAGTAATACCGTATAACTTCTTGTAGACCTGCCAATCGTCGCAATTTCCTCTCTTACAGACCCGAACTACAAAAACTGGGGCGTTAAATTTAACACCCCTGGTGTCCTCAGAGGACTACACCAACACTTTTCACCGGTGTTAAAAATTTTGTGTTATTTGGTGTTATTTTAACACCCTCCAGTGCATTGTAACACTTATAGGTGTGCAAGATAACACCAGTAACATGCTATTGTGTGGTCATCTGATAACACCAAACGGTGTTGATTTTAACACCACAGTTTTTGCAGTGCACCGATCTTGCCAATTTCCTCTCTTGCAGACCCGCCGGTCTTGCCAATTTCCTCTCTTGCAGACCCGCCCATTATGCCCATTTCCGCCGAGGAGCCTGTAGACACTGAATCAACCAAGTATCTGGAGCTGGCGTTCATTGCCGATCCATCGTACACTTCCAGTCGTGGATCTACCAGCTCAGCCACCACCTGTGTTAATACGCTTTTCAACGCGGTGAGCGTCATGCACTGATCAATTTATTTCCCTGGATGTAGACTCCCGCTTTGAAATACGTCTGCTGCGAGTTAAATTTAAATAACATCTGCTATAATTGCTTTACCTCGCAATTTCGGGGCAAGCTTTTGCATAACGACCACCATCTCTGGAACGGACTGGTTCCGTTATGCCCTTCTTTTCTGCATGTTGAAACAGTGTATTGGGTGCAATGCGTCTCTAAAGCCTGGTTTCCATATTGACGTAAGAAACGCAGAGAAAAACACAAGTAAGACGCAAACTACAACGTGGACATACGGAAACATGCCAAACGGAGGTGTCGCCTACGGAAGCCCGTTAGTGCCAATTTGAACCATGCAAAAAATTTTTATCGCGAAATAACGCAATAACATTGCGAAATAACGCAATACCGGTAGTATTGAAAAATAACGCAACAACTTTACGAAATAACGCAATAGATCTACGGACATTCGGGACACGTTCGCGCGGTTACTCCGATTAGCAAGAGTAGGATGCGTGTGCATTATACCTACGTGCAGGATCCGCGTGAAATAAACTGGTCCTGCCCTGTCTTCACGTCTTGTGGGCGTCTGCGTTACCAACGAACATAAATCAGGCTTAACTAAGCAAAAGCTTGCGTCGAATCACGATAGCAACAATGTCTTTAGCATGGAGACTTCTAATTGTTTTAAAGAACCGGTGTACCAGATTTTATTCAAGTTTAACTCGTAAAAGGCTTATTACAGCACTACTGCACTTTTATTCAAACTTTACTCGCAAAAGGCTTATTCGGGTACTCCGAGAATCAATTCACCGAAATGCTTTGCAAATGACTTCAACTAAATTGACATTTAATCATTCTTCTTTGGAACCAAGAACTCACTTTTCAATTTCAAAAGCATTCAGGGAAAACTTCCACTCAACGAAGACCTGATCTGTATAATTACAAGAGCGTTTTAAAGTTCATAGGTCACAGTAAATGAAAACTTCAGAGGGAAGACTCAAGACAAATTACCATTTAAAAAAACTATTTTCCCTCATGGTATGTTGATGGTCATTTCAAAGTCTTTGCTGCAACAAGTAAATGAGGGTTTTTTTTTCGATTCGCACGGTGGGGATGGTGGTATTCTTCAATGATAATCAACATTTTTGTTCCTATGCTTTCAAATCCAGGTAAAAAACGTTTTGCAATTGAGTTCTCTCAGAGGCACTGCACTGGTTCCAAAGCTGGTGTACGTTAAGATCTTTGGAGCAACAGAGGTAGGTCGTAGTCAGGATTTTGAAAAGACTTGAAAAAAGACTCTTCTTTTAGAATTTGAATAAACATAATCCACAAGGAAGAACTACTTGAGAATGTGTCAACCTTGAAGGAATTGCCGGCATTCAAGCACATGTATCTAAGTAGAAGTAAAAATTTGTCTCTTACTAGGACCCATTTTACTGAAATGTTGCTTTTCGATGTGTCAGGGAGGGAGAGGAGTAGGATAGACAAGGTTGGCTGGCGGGGTGATTAGCAGACCACAGGAGACATTTGACTTAGCGTACGACCGACGACTGACAGACAGGACTGACAAAATACTGATTGACGTAACTCACCCCCTCGGAGGTGAGTTTGACGAGCGACGAAACGAACGAAGTTGGAGACTGCGACTGCCGACGACGAGGACACAGCGTTATAAACATTCTTTCATCCCTAGGGCCATTGATGCATGCAATTTGAAACATACGAGGGGAATAAACGAACTTTGATAAGATGAGGTATTGATGATTTTTAATGATTTGTAATGTGTTAATTCTGTATTTTAATTAGATTCAGTATATGTATGTTTTAGGATTCTAATTTTTGTATGTTTTTAATGAGGCTGGTACGCAGAGATGTAATTTCCTTTGGGATTAATAAAAGAACTATGAACTGTGATTTAGACTGGACTGACAAGTAACACTGATAGTAATACCTACCTGGCGACCTGTCGTGCATGGCAACATACCAACAACAAACCGTCATCGAGCAGTGAACATTGGGACAATGCTGCATTTTTTACAGGGTGCGTGTTTCTCAGTTTGAAATCGATACTGCTTTTAGAAAGGGTGGCCGAAATCTTTCGTAACATTTTGATTTCAACAAGGTTTTTAAAATAAATATTGGACCTCAGAATACGTTTGGCTTTAGATGTTTCATTTTCATTAACCATTTCTGGCGCTCGTACACTTGCCCCAGTTTCGATTAAAATATTAATGGCGTAACGACAACTTGGCTGGACTTTTGGTAGAGTTGAATCAGCAGCAACTGTTTGCATGCAGTATTTGCGGTTAATATCAAATCAAGAACAAGGCAACAGAACAAAATTAGTCATTTTATCGAAATCACTCCTTTTGCAGTTGGTTTTTTGTTACATCTGGGGGAATACCGGTGCATACCTCTCGTTTTCCATCAGAAAAGAAAATGTCCATAATTCGGGCTAAACGGACGAATAAAATAAGGATAACCTTTTGCGTTCCTAAAGCTTCATTAATTCACTGGTGAGAAATTAGAAGTCCAAAGCCAGACTCCTTCATGACTTTCATCGTATTGTTCGTCATTGATCTCCCATACGAGCAGAGTGGACATATCAAGTCCGGACGCTGGTAATGCAGTTCTTGGCGTAGGCTATGTCAGTGGATGTGACTACTGGGGTGCGTCTCTTAGTGAGTTCCGTAGTCTTGATGCCACAGCTGTCACGGCACACGAAATCGGACACAAGTGAGTTTTAAACGCATACGCAAAACAGCTGCAATATATGAAAGTCCTGTTGTGCCATCAAGTGGGTAGATATTTTCAAAAAGTGGAGTATGCATTTTTAAGGTGCATTTTTATGATTTTTTTTTTCAAATTCGTTTGTACGATATTTTACGATATACATATACTTTCCCCAAGTTCGTTTGTATGAAATATATATTCTCCACTTCGTTCTTATGGGAACTAATGTTAGAGACAGTGTTTCTATTTTTGGAAACAAATCGTTTCAAGGGATATATTTGTGGATCAAGTTTGTTTTTAGGAGATACATTTTTCCAAGTTAACGTTCTAAAGACATATACAGTTTTAAGTTTCATTTTACATCTCATCAAAGCAAACTTTTAAAAATATGGTTCATGAAACAAACTCAGCATCAGTGTTAATGCCTTTTAATCGATTATAGCTTAGGAATGTACCACGATTCCTCAGGACCAGAGGGTGGTCCCTATAATAGCTGCTCATCGAAGGGGTATTTGATGGCTGCATACAATGACAACCATCAAAAAGATCTGGGCTGGTCTACTTGTAGCCGATCCTACTACGACACTCGCATCACGTGAGTAGAAAAACAACTTTACTGAAATTTTGACGAGTATAGATAATAATCAGATGCTCGATTTGTCTCCTAAATATGACGAAAACAAATGAAAGAACGTTGTTTCTTACACACAATTGATCCTGTTCTTGTGTTTGTAGCCAAACCACCTGCTACAACGATGCCTAACTGGATGATCGGATTTATTGGGACACCCCTCGAACTGTAAGTAGATAGCGCCTTTATCTGTACTTCTCTTAAATTGTCAAGTTCTTGTATCATTCTCATTATAAAGGTCGTCTCCTCCCAGCACACTCTAGAATTAATATTTGTTTGTGTATTTGTCTTTTTCTCTGAGTTTTTGTTTTATCATTGACACGAGTTTAAGATTATTGCCATTTAAAAAGGGAAATATTCAGGATTCGGTCAAAACTTAAAGGGAAGCAAATAAAAGCTGAGAAGCTATTCAGCACACTGTATAATTACAAAAAGCATTTTGGAGTATATCATTAAAAATTGTGTAAAATTGAAAGGATGGATGGATGGAAGTTTTCATCTTTGGTTGAACAAAAAAGGTCCATTCCCTTGTTAACTGTGGTCTGAATGCTGTAAATATTACCTTTTCCTCGTTGTGAATTTTCTTGCAGGAGGGAGAGGAAAAACCTGCGACATTTCTGAAGTCTCCAAAATGCATTCAAAATACTGGTCACTGTTGAGTTTTGTTCTCATCGTTAGTATTTATAACGAAGTCAACAGAGGCGGGTTGTCTTCAGCCTATGTCTTCGATTATGCTCAGTTGGACGAGACACAAACTGCGTAATGCTTACGAGGCAGAGCCCCGGGTCAAAATTATTTAAACATTCAACTTCTACTGTAGTTATCTCTTGATTCATCGAGGGTGGAAAACTAAAATGCCCAGTGTGGTGGTTACAAGATTTCTTTTCATCGCTTCAGAAAGATATTATAGCTTCAGAGACCAATACAACAGAAAGGATTTTTTGCATGACCGTGTTTTTAATTCTGCGAAAGCCAAATTAATCAAATCGAACGCAAATCAAATGCAAATCAGGTGCTTGCTCTAAGTAAAATGTTCATATCTCAGATCTAACTACTAAATTTGCAGCAGCTGTACAAACTTGATATTTCTTTATTTTCATTATGAATTGAGGTGAAGGTAATAAATTTCAAACCATTCAGCATTAAACAATGTGGTTTGTGTGTCTCAATTAAAATACAACGTACTGAGACGATATGATAGCTGAGGGTAACGGCGTATCAGGGTTTTCACTCGGTAGTATTCTTTTCGTAGAAGGGTTGTCCATTTTTCCTTTTGTAACTTTTCCCCACCCCTCTGATCGCTTCTGATCTCTGGATTCTGATTGCTTCAGTAAGGTTGCAAAAAGCTAATGAATAATGGCTGAAGCTTATTGGATTGGAACTAGAATACCAAATGCCGTTGCTTTAAGAACTGTGAGAAGTTGCATATTGATAACAAAAGTCAGCATGTGGGGTGAAGGCGATTTCTTTTTATGGTGTTACCTGCAGAACCAATTTTTCACTACACCCTCAGCTAATGTTCAGGAGTTAACGTGCAAGAATAGTGGAAGAAGTCAACAATCTCCGTCATAGCCTTGAAATGATCAGACGAGCAGTAAGGGACATGTTACGAAGATGTCAGATGTGCATTGACAGGAATGGTGGCCATGTGGAGGATTTAGCACATTAAACTGATGAGGTAAGTAGCGAAAACAAAGCAGATAAGATTGATTTAGGTACATTCCTTGTTTTTAAGAATGCGTTCTTAAAGCAAAGGCTTTTGGTATTCTGCAAACTAGCATGGTCTAGCCTTGTTAATCACGTATGCAAACTTGTCACAGTGCCGATTTCAGTACCCTTAACATCGGACTAGTTTGTTCACTCATCTGTGTCAATAACATCACAAGCTGTATACCATTGCAAAGAGGGCATTCTGCCCTTTCTAGAGATATATTTCTCTTTCCCATATATAAAGTAATTTTTATCTCGGTATACTTTTTATCTGGACACTTTGTACATGTAATATATAAGCCGCGCCGCGCGTGCGACTTACCAGGCCGTCATAAGTGGTAACCGACGCGATGGAGTTCTGTTCCCCAGCTACCTTCCCCGTGTAGACGTAGTCTGTCCTGAGTGGCACCCTCTGGATGCCTTCATCGGTGTAAATCTCAAGCTCGAGCCCGGGGCAAAGTTGCTGTCATCGTGGTCCACGTTGAGGATGAGTGTCTCTCCGAAGGCTTCAACTTCCAGTTCTAGGAAAAAGGTTGCAATGGCTCCGTTGCCTGGACTCCTCCTACCGTCAGCTTCGACTACGAGTTGGTAAACGATCTCATACTCAGGGGCTATACACGGATAAGGGAGAGATAATACTTTTTTGCGAATGACACCATTTTGTGCACGTCACTGCTATCTTCCTTCTTTTACAAGCACTGCCCCAGAAGGTACAGCGATAATTTCAACGAGGACTTCATTTATTTAGACGGGATATTTAACAAATAAAATCAAGCCTGGCCTAGAGGCAATTCCAATTTACTTTAGAGGAATTTTTTTAGTGATTTTTACAAATGAAGTTGTATGTCCGCACATTTTTGTCTGTTAATTGAGAAACACATGGGGCCATTGCATTATTAATACGATCTAAAGAAGGTTGCGTGGTGGACTTAGACAAGGTTTGTGTTGTCACCATGCAATTCTCTCTACAGCGGCGTAAGCTCATGCCGGAAATTGGGGAGGAACAGGCGGAAGGGTTAGGGTGAAAAATTTGAAAAATTTGAAAATTGGAAAAGCGCAGGGGATAACAGTACACGACTCTATATAGAAGTCAGCGTTCATGATATTGATGTATATACGTATGTAATATGTATTCAGAACGGCATATTTATGACTTTTTAAAATTATTTTCCCCTTCTTTGATATGAATTTTAGTCGGAAGTCCTAAAAATGCTTCACAATCCGCTTTAGTTTTTGCTCACCACAAAAGAGTGTGTGGAGGAAGGAGGGTGTTCAGCGTTATAAGCATGTGATTCTCTCTGCGAGTGAGGTTGGTTCTGAAGGTTTACCTTCTGCGTGGTTTTCAACACCGAAGTAACGAATGAGCTCCTCGGTAGAAAATTCATCGTCTTTGTTCAACACCTGTGTTATAACACAAAAGCAATTCACATTGAATTCTTCCAAATATGACAGAGATGTATAATTTCGACGACTCACTTCACTTGACTAAGTTGAATTTAGAAAGTTCATGTGTAGGTTCGGTGCATGTTCAGACATTAGCTGTGCTGTGGCGGACTACGCGACTATAGAGATTTGAAATCAAGTACTTTAGTCGAGGACTTAACACTGGTACACGCTGTCATTAACCCAAGTTTTGCTTGTCTCTTTGATACTCTCTTTCAAAAGGCATTTCCTCATAACCATTACGATTCCTGAATGTTACCAATCAAAAGTGTTAAAGTGAGATTATGAAAATACACAAATTATGTACACTGAGTTCAAAGCCGGTTTCGCTAGATGACGAAGTAAATAAACCTGACCCAGGCTTGGAGCAAGCCGTGGAAACCAACACTGCAAGCACGACAATCTTCAACATCATTGCGCAGGTGTTGGATCGCCGGGAATAACGAATTCACGGTCTCCGCTGATGATTTTATAAGCAATTTTTGGCTTGTCTTGGGGGGGGGATACCAACCAGGCTATAAAACTGTGCTGAGATAAAACATTATGCGTAAATCGAGGGGATGAGATTATTCATTCTCTCTTTGTGGCCTGGGCATTGGCCGCCGGATCATCCCTCTTGTATTGAGAAATACTAGCAATGTGGATTTTGTGTTTGTTTGCGTTACAGCAAGTGACAGAGGGGAAGAGAGAACGTAATCACAGAAAGTCTTACAACAACACTGTTAGAATTGAATAAGGCTTGCACACATGCATGCAAGTGGGCTACCTGTGTACAAATGAGGTACTTCTTTATCATGAACAAAGCACATCGTTGGCGTTCATTACCAAAGATTATTGTGTGCTTAGCCAACCGGCTGTGTCTCATGTCGCACACTTTTATCGCAAATGGGTTCTAGGCAGTAAAGCAAAAACAGCCAACGTTTTGTGATAAACGGAAAATTCATCAGTTGGTTTCATGAGTATTGGTTTCGCGTCCAGCGTCAGAAAACGTACTGGAAAATTTTGTCTTAAAAGTAACCCCACGCCATTGTTTTTTTTTCTTTTGAAGACAGTGACTGTTGCTAATCTGGATAAATTTATCCTGTAAAATAAGTTTTCCTGGTTAAAAAAGAGAATAGAGTGTGAAAATCGACTGTTTTCACAAATTTAGAATCCCCTGGATAGGAATTCTGCTGAATGAGTTTGAATTTAACACATTTTTGGGGGCCATTTGGTGTGAAAACGCACTTTTTGTCATGGAAAGATCCGCCAAATATGTAATTACATAATAATTAATTATTTGTACATTTTGTATGGGCGGGGCCAAAGTTTCATAAACGTTCTCCCTCGGATTGGAACAACTTAGTGTTGCCTGAAAACCCGGCACTTTTTGTTTAATGACTGTTACAATAGGAAGCAGCTTTATTTGGTATTTTGGTGAAGTATTCATTATGCAGGGATTTTTATTTACGTGATAGTTTAGTAGGCCTGTGGGTATGTGTAAAGGCGTCTCTCCATAAACGTGCCTGCCTTAAGTTTTTTGTGTGAGTGTGCGTTGCGTACACGATGCGGTCGTGCACTTCACTTTCATGGACCAAAATAGACTCCATCAACATGAGGCACGTGTGCGTTTCGTTCCGCCCTCAAATTCGCCCTGGGAGCCATTATAACAGATGCGCAACGCTTGGCGCAAGCGTTGACACACATATTGAAAGGTATTGCCTTAAATACGTTTCCGTAGGCTACACTGCACCCTTGAGTCACGGAAGCAAGAAGTAGGGCGCCATCACCTTTTGGCTGCGAAACTGGCAGCGGCAACTTATAACTTAACTGTACCATAGACTCATGCGTGTATCCGGCCGGCCGGGACTGAAACCTGTGGTTATCAGTGGAATTTGCAATGCTTATAGATGGTGAGTCTGGTGCTCCACGCTTTACATTCTATCTGGCCCATCCCGGTCCCCGGCGGTGTGCTTGTCCCTATCTGCTGGTCGGAGTCCAGTCAGTGTCGATTTTTTGTCTGCTGATTTGCATGCACCTTTGAGCCTTTGTTTACTGATCCTATTTGTATTTTTGATATGGCTTCAGGAGATATGAGCGAACCTATGGCAAAAAAATCGAAGATGGATGTCTGGTGAGTTTAAAGTCGTTCAGTAATTCATCTCCATGTCCACACGTGACGACGCGCCGCGGCAGCGCCGGCCGCAGCCGGGTTGGCGGCACTGGCATCCGGATAGTAGTACCAGTACTAACGCTAGCATGCATACATGTAATATATGTACGTACCATAGAAAAAGGCAAACGGGTCAAGTCGTCCCCCTAAAGTGAAACCCTAGTCAGGTCGTCCCCTCGTCACTAGTTGTGTGTCAAATGTTATCTGTCCGTGTAATTTTCTTTTTAGGTATATCGTACATGTCATACGAAGAAGAGAATGGAAAACAAAATAGAAAGACAGAAGACTCGTACTCATTCATGCACAAAAGAAAAAAAATTATTACGCCTACCCTAGTAAAAACTAAAAAAGTAAAAAAAGAAATTAAATAAATTACCTCCCTCCACCCCCCAAAAAGAACAAATAAATTACCCCAGTGAAAAATGGAAAAGTAAAAAAAAATTTAATAAATTAATCCCCCCCAAAAAAATTCCCCAGTGAAAGCTAAAAAAGTAAGAAAAAATATTGTTTATACAGGAGGCAACTTGACCTTGGGACAGAATGACTCAGGGAGGACTTGACCAACATTCCGTACCATGCCCATCCCTTGGAGGTGCATTACTTGAAAGGGGGAGGGATTATTTTCCGGAGAGGACAGAATTGTGTTATATTTTTAACAAAACGTGACATAGAGAACTCTAAGTCGCTAGGCTTACTCCATGGGACTTAGTTAGGCCCCAGTTGTCATTTTCGGGGAGTCTTAATGCTACATGTATGTGTTTTTCGAATCAGGTTTTTGCTGTGGTTATCAGGTCGCGCAAACTCTGCTTTTTCGATCAAATTTTCCTGTGATAGCAACCGTGAGGTTCGGGCTCTTGAAACAGGAGTTTCAAACCACGAGACCAAGTATTTGTAGAACAATCTGACATTTTTACTCACCAATTTCTTGTTCCCACCCGGCGGTGATGGCACCATTTATGCCCCCTGTGTTTATCACATTGCACATGTATGCATCAGGCTGGCCAATGGCCATGCTTGCTCTGCATTTCAGTTTGACCATTTTGAAGTGCGAGGATTCTAAGATCTTGCAATTTGTCACAGCTTCTCAGTGCAACGGTCACGCAGTGAAAACAAGATGTCATTCCCCCCTCCTCTTAAAACGGCCAAACTGAGATGCTCCCTCCATTTTGCCACGCCAAAATTTGAAACTTTTCTCCCAGAAAGAAATTTTAAAAAGCCTGCTGCAATTGTAAAAAGTTCCCTGACAAGATAAATTGTTGTTTTCTCACAGAACCTAGATTTTCAAATCATGTAAATTAAAACTTTAAATGCACACATGGTTTAATCATGATTTGTGTCATTTGCTGTGCCATGCTTTGAATTTGGACTTTTTGTCTGAAATTTTTGGACAGGAACAACCCTTCCACATCTTCTCTATTTTCAATCCTTACTTTCTAAATTTCTAACCCAAAAATGTCACTTGCAGATAATTTCAATCAAACTCATTCCAGTCTACAGACAAAAAAATAGCCTTACCCCATCTGTTGACTGTACATGGCAGGGAAATCTTATTGCTGTTACCTTACTTTTTCGACACGATAGAAATGAGACGATTATGGACTTAGGGATTATGCAAATAAATACATCATGTAGAGTGTACAGCCCAGGTACATGTAGTAATATCCCATTGTTCAAGTCGAGCAATGCTGCATGAAACGCAACATAAATACATCAGCTGCTCGACTATCATCCTTGATGTAGATTGTGAAAAAGTCGAACTAAAAACTGAGACCAGAATGTACGTGTACATTAGACTTCTTGGTGAGGTGAAACACACCTGTTGATAAAGTGGTCCAGCCCAGCTAAATCATGCTGGTTGTTTGGAGATAGCATATAATGGATTGGTCCAGTTCAATACAGCTGTGACCAGAACTGGTAGTGGTTCTTTTTAGCATTCAACTCCCCAGCAGGGCAGTTCAGGCTGGTTGTGTGCAGCAGTGCAACGAGCTAACACTAACAGTAGTTAGGGAGTAGTATAACAGTATTAATTGGGAGTTGTGCTTGACACACAGAAGCTTTGATCCACTATGGTCAGGTAGGTACTGTGCAATGTCAGTATGCAATATGCGTTTTTGTATTTACACATTTGGGAAAATTTCATACAATACGTGAAATTCTGCAAATTGAGTGATAACACCTACATGTAGGTACATGGACATCCATCACAACTGTACTGGTCTCTTTTATTTCCTGTGGGATTTCTGCTGGCAGTAAAGCGTATTTAAGTAGATTGATTCTAAGCCCAGGAACTGTTAATGCATGGTGTGGGTTGTAAGTATTTCTGAAAAGTGACTAAGAGAATTGTGCTGACTCATTCGCTGTGATATTAATAATACAGAGTTACAAATGCCATCAGTAGGACACCAGAAAGCTGTAATTAAAATGCAGTCATGAAGCTAATATCTTAAAGTTTGTTGCATACATTTCATCTGTGTTTGTTCCTTGGACTGTTTCAAATACATCAGCAATTTTTGTTCTTTGTACACTTTCCCTGTTTCAGTTTTTCACCGAGGATTTTGGTAAACTGGTAGAGGTTATGAATTGTCTGGTGCCTTGGAGGCTGGTCTGTTATCTTAATTTAGTGATAATAAATGCACAAAGGGTTTACATGAGCCTATCTTGTAGTGAGACAAAGCCCTTGCTCGCCAACTTCACCTGAATGCATGACCTTGCATTGGTGACCTTGCACAAAGAGAAACCTTGAATATTTCCATCTATATTATACATGTGTATCAACTGGGTATGGAAATATTTATCCTCCCTTATATCTAATGTATTTTTTTCACTGTTTTGCCTTTGTAGTGAAGGTATCTTGTTTGGAATCGGCAACCCTCTCTTGGACATCTCAGCCCATGCCGATAAGGACTTTCTAGATAAGTAAGAACATCAAGGTCAAAGTACAGTTGAATATTTGGTATTCCTTTCTTCTTGAACTTACTGTCGCTTTATTAAATGGCCCATTATTGTAAACACACCTTTGTGCGGAATTTAACCTTATTGCCAATTGTTTGATAATTTCAGGGATTTCTTTCTTCTTTGGGAAGAAACTTCAGTTCGCCACGGTTTCAGAGCCAGAATTTTATTTTGTTGTCTGAAAGTTTCCTTTCTTTGGTGATTTGTTGTTGTTTCAGACTTCAGACACCCTCAATTTAACTGTGTCCCAATGAAATGACATGACAGCAACAGCAAAAACCCGTCAAATGCTTTAGGTTTTTGAAAAAGTTCTCTACACCAGAAAGGGATGTCAGATAGTTTTTAAAAAAAAGGAGTAAAAATTCCGCATAATATGTTCCCAAGTGGCACTTGTATCGTAGCCCCTCCCTAAGGGATTGTATGTTTGATGATCTCTGAGATAGGAAAAAAAATGGGAAAAACAGGTTCATTAGCTGGGCCAACTAGTGGATGTTACCATCCTCCTGGACGTAGACAGCATGTGAGAATTCAATTTTGTCCTTGTGTCATTCTCTGATCACTGTTCTGCTCGTGTTTTGGGGAGGCATTGTGGGTGGAAAAACATTCACGAGCTCGCTCAAACAGGTCTCAAAACAAGATTTACTCAAATGGTTATAATGTACACATTTCCCAATATGTTTTGTGCTCTCTCATTTGATTGTTGTAGGTATGGCTTGGATGCAAATACGGCCATCTTGGCTGAAGAGAAGCACATGCCAATGTACGAGGAGATGATCAAGCGATTCAGTGTGGAGTACATACCAGGTGGAGCTACCCAAAACTCCTTTAGAATTGCTCAGGTACATCTCTCAGAGTGCGAAATTGGACCAAACAAGTGCTCAGACAAAATGTCATGTCACAATCAATTTTGTTCTGTCATTACCAGCTTTTGATTTGCCATATTATATAAAAGGTAGAGTTCGGGTTCCCAACCCCATTATTATTTTTGTTCGGACTACGGGGACCGGGAAACAGTATAACTCAGAGCACGTTCAAGCCGTGACTAAGGGCTGCGTTCGAGCGAGCTACTTATGTTCGGCAGGAGTAAGGCCTGCGGGTCAAAGAGGGTATACTCCCATGGCACATACAGAAATATAATGCGCGCGCACCACGCTCGGGCTGAACTGAAGGAACCGTGCAAACGCAGCCAACCACTACTGGTCCATATTGCCTGGTACCCATGTTTTGTGTCATGCATGGGTTACCATGGAAAATTGAACATGGGTTGACAGCATGACTTACGTTTTATGATGCGCAAAGAATTATGGGCGATTTCATGTCAGTGGTCTGGGCAAGTAAAGTACATGTGTGTTCATACACGTGTGGTGCTGGGTGATACGGAACCGCTCTGGACAATTATGTATTTATATTGCACTAAGATTTCAATGAATTTATGTCCAAAAATTGTTTGAAAGTGCTTACAAAATGATGCAAAACCGCGCAAGAATGCAAGGCACAAAATTTGTGCGGCCCACACCAGTTGTCACGAAGCCCTCTATCAGCAAAAGAAAAAATTTACTAACCTCATTTCAAGCCCCAAAGTTACGGTGAAATGTGTGCACGCTTTTGCTCATGCAGAAATGGCTGCTATGAGTCCCACTGACACACATGTGAAGATTGATATTTCATTGGCAGCCAATCACAGCACAATGACCGGATGGTCCACAGATGCTGTTTCCACACAAGGCTTGCTCCACGCTGAATGTAAATACATACATACAGTATGTACATGTATACCTGTATATATAAGCTACACAACTGTGCTCCAGTGCTGTTTGTGCTAAAACGTTTTATATTCAACAGGAATTTGACTGAAAAATGTGTTTTATGTTTCTAATTTCCACCAACTACATGTACATCAAATTTTATACACAAACTCTTTGATTTTTGTGCTGGTTGGATTGTGGAAATTTACTGTCAGTGTTGGTCGGCCAGCTCGAGTGCTGGTTTCACATGACCAGTGCCGACCGGCGTAGTGACAACCCTGGCTGTATGGTTCAAGTACTTCAGACCTGCTTTGAAGAGTTCACTTTTGATAATATTTTGAACAGAAGTAGCGCACCCTAAAAAAATCACTGTTGGTTCCTCACCTGAGAAAAACAGTCTGGTTGAAAGAATATTTTTCTTCAGGACAGCCAAAAAATTGTAATTTTTAAAAAAATTGTAAGTTGGGTCTTGTACCTGGTGTAATAGCTTTCAAGGATGTTTTGTTCATCCTTGATTTATTCTATTCTCAAAAGTACTAAATTTATCGAGTACATGTACCGGTAGTTCTTGTGCTGTTCTAAAATGCTACATGTAGCCACTGTTATAAGGGGTTTATTAATTTACCTCAAAGTCTCAGAACAAAATGTTTATCTTGAGATCTCAGAACCCGCCTGACCCTGTTATGTCGCACCTTTCATGTGCTTCATGCGTATTGGCTGTGGTATTTCCTGTAATTTCTCGTTCTTTGTTCTCCAGTGGATTCTGGATCAGCCGGAGAGAACAACTTTTTGTGGCTGTATTGGTGACGATGAGTACGCCGTGAACATGAGGAAGAAGATGGCCGAAGCCAAAGTGCGCACCTCATATCTGGTGGATCGGGAGCATCCCACCGGCACATGTGCTGCTGTCATCACTGGAAAGAACAGGTTGAGCCTTTATTGTGGTATTGTTTGCCCTACATGAGCCGTGGAGGGCAGGGGGGCAGACCCTCAACATTTTTCTTCTGAAATTGCTGCCGTGTATTTTTCTTACGAGTGGAGCCCGTAGGTGTTTTTTCAGCAACTCACTGCAGTAATTTTGACACCAATTCTGTGAAAATCGAAGACACCATTCCGAGACATTCCCAGATCCATTCCCAGATTTCCGAGACAGGTCAGCCAGAAAGTTTTATAATCATCTACTGCCGTGCACGTGGGCCATCAGCTTCAAATGATCAATTATAACAACAAAACTATGTTTCAGATTGAGTTGAAACTTGTACTCCATATTTGCACTGCTGAGGAGTGTTTTAAATGCGGTGCCCACATCCCCCTACACCCCGCAGCTCTTGTATTCTTGAGTATTTCTGATCATGAAATCAAGGAATCTTCTGCAGGACCCTCAGTACTGTAGCTTGTAAGCCTCAAGTTTCAAAGAGAAAAACCCAAGTTGCTGGATGAAACCCTCAGAATGACGTAGGGTCTGAAAACCCAATCCGCCAGTGGACAGGGCGAGGAATTGAACCCGAGCCACAGAGTTGGAAGGCGAGAAAAGAACCACTAATCCAACCCGAATTCCCTCCTGCCCTCTAAGTATTTGTGTCAACCGCTCATCTCCTGTTGTCTGTTTTGCGTGGAAATGTTAAGTCACGTATTTTTTTGACCTCAACCGTTTTCAGCGTAACTGTGTGATGAGCAGATGCAGGGAAAAGCTGGCAATACCTGTAATTGGTACTAAATAAGCTCTGTCATGCATGGTTAGTCATTGAACGTGTTTCACTCTCTTACTCCAGTCTATTTCTGCACTTGCATATATATATATATATATTAATTAATTAATATTTCCCAGGTGTAATTAATTCCCTAATGCTTTGTGCCTGTGGTGGATTTGCAAAGCAAGGTGTTTTTTTAATGGAACCTAGATACAATCAGATCTTGGTATATTTTAAACACCAAAGAGGTAGAAATGTCCTAAATGTAAACATGTCCAGTGTATAGCCAGTGTCTGGGCAAAGTTTTGCTGGCTGAGATATCTGATAAGTGGAACTTCAGGAAACTTTTGGAGGATCCAGGAATGACCACATGTAACAATTGTTGACCACTGTGTCTTGGGATATGACGTTTTGAAACCCAAGAGATGCATAACTCCCCAGGTGAAGCCATGGGTGATATTTGTCCCCAAGGGTTTCAAACATCATATCCTACATCACAGCAGTCAGCAATTGTTTTGTTGTATCCCCCACTTGATATTTTCCACTTTAAGGGCGGCAAAGGAATCTTTTGATCATTATCAGTTTAGCGGTCCCTGTATTATCATATGCCCTGCGGGGAACGTGGAACATGCGTGCAGGCATGAATGCTGGCTGATGTGATGTCTAATGGTTAGTGTGACATGTAGTTATGTCACCCATCACATGTTCGCTATGGGCAGTGAAAAAAAAAGAACAGGAGGCAAGTAGGGCTGTGCCGAATATCCGAATATTCCATCGATTATCGAATACATGTATTCAAATGTTATTTTCCAAATTTGAATATTCAAATGCTAAATTTGTAAAAAGAAAGAAAGAATTTTCTTTTGTTTTAAGTGAGAAAAATTGCACAATGGAGGCATGTTTCAAGCAGATTCAAACGGAAAGTGACAAATATTAGTATTCAACAAGTAGATTATTCATTAAAAAATTTAAAAGGAGTAGAAATGTTCAGCAAGGCAAGAAGTATTAATCTTGCTAAATCCTGGCTGAAGATACTCCGAGACGTGAGAAGCTATTATTGTGATTATAATTTACAATTTGTGTGCATTATTGCAACTGATTTTGTACATGGTTTATTCATCAACAGTCTGCTGGTCGATACAACCGAATATTCAGATATTTGATCGAATTAAAGGTTGAATGTTCAAAGAGTAGATTATTCAGATTGACTCGGGACTGTATTCCAGACAGAGGTATGTCAACGTGGAATGCGGCCCTCCCTTCCTCCCCAGTAGTACTGTAGTTGTCAAAACATTATTTGTCTCATTCAACCCATCAGGTCGCTGGTGGCAAATCTAGCAGCCGCCAACCACTACAAGAAGGACCATCTCCTCCAACCTGAAAACTGGAAGCTGGTTGAAAAGGCAGAATTTTACTACGCAACTGTAAGCAACAGCAAGAAATCTTTAAACTTGTTATTTATTAACTGCATCGACCAATGGACTATATTAACGGACTCATACTATTGATGGGTTGAAATATACCCTGGTTACTTTGAAGCATTTAAAGAGTATTTCAGCCACATAAAGCAGCTTGAGATGATCTGTATTTATACAAAATAACCAATAAGCCATTTGCGCGTTAAATTTGAATAAAATCTGGTACACTGAGTTATCTGATTGCACGTAAGCATAACAATTTGAATTCCCCAGACTAAACACACTGTTGCTATACCTCATGATTCGGGGCATGCTTTTGCTTCGCAACCACCATCTCTGGTATGGAATGGTTCCTTTGTGACCTTCTTATCCATTGAGAACAGAGTATTGTTGCAAGGCATCTCTTATGTAACTAAGGAAAAGCTTGCCCTGAATCACGAGGTATAGCAACAGTGGTTTAGTATGGAAAATTCCAATTGCTATGTTCACATGAATTTAAAGAAGTCAGTGTACCAAATTCTATTCAAATTTAACTCACAAAAGGCTTAATCTGGCATTCCAAGGACTTAAAGTTGACCTGTTTTATGAGGAAGTCATTTCTAATCATATTTCCTGATCAAGATGAAATTCTAAAGGATTGTAATATTGTTTTATTTATGTTATACACGTATTTGAAATTATTCATCAGAGCAGTCTGGTATTTGCTATGAAATTTCATATTACTGGTTTCCTCTCGCACAAGTTCACAAATGGGTTGAGCTAGATTTCACTTTAACAGGGCTGACTCAAAGTTGCTGTGAATACAGAAGCATATATGCCCGGATTTGTGAATACATGTACATGTACTACATTGCAAGAGAGTGATTTGAAACCACACCATTTCAGACCATACCTCGAGGATATCAGATCGTGAAAAAAAAGTCTTCGGGATTGCAGTATTTTTCGTGATAAAATGAAAAATGTCGGGCACAAAGAACGTACGATGTCAACGGTCTGTTTAGGCCGGTCAGTCGAACTGTGCAGTGACTTATCTTTACGGCAGTTTCAGTTTTACTTCGTTGTAGTTGAGTCCACTACAAGTCCCTGCAAGTCTCCAGCCAAGTTGCTAGCTGTTCCAGTCAACTGCAACAAAAGCATTCCCTTGTCATTGTTCACCCCATTACTTGTGACTGTTTACTTGGTCTTGCGAAGGACTTCTTGAAAAGGACTTGTAAATGGCCTCAACTGCAACACTGTTTTGTTGCGACAGGTGCAGAAACTCATGAGTACAGTCGAACATGATTGACACGAGCGTGCTTCAGATGAGATTGTACACATTCCTATGAAAGAAAACTTACTTGATATGAGCTGTGCTAAATCAAGAACATGGACAAGACGAGCACTTTTGCCGAACCCGGAGTGTAAAAAACCATTGCCCGTAGCATTTCTACAACACATACAATTGAAAACACTTCTTGAAAAGCTTCATCCCTGTAAATCCTGATGGAGCGCGTCAGTAAAGCTTATGCTAATCCACTCGGCAGTTTGTGCTGCGGTTTTACCTTCGATGACTTGGCAACTCTGTTCCTTGAACCACTAGAAGGGGCTTTATTCAAGATGACAGTGGGTGTTGCAATGTCGCGACATCAAAGGAGTTTCAAACACAGTGGGTCTGGTCCGAAAGAGGTTTTTTTTTTAATTTTAACCAAACAATGGGTGAACCTGACTTGAAAATCGTAAATGGGATGGAAGTTTTGATGCCAAGGAAAACAAATGCATAAACAGTCCTCATCAAACACCCTGCATGGTCAAAGGTTTGGGAAATTACACCCTTCAAAAGTTCCCTTCCCTCAGTTAACCGATGTCCCACATTCCCCTTTCAAAATAAACTTGCACAACCCTGTCGCAAAATAAAAATGAAAGTTACTGTTCCATTTCTACAAAATAGTTTCCCTCCCACCAATTAAAAACCAATGGAAATTCCCCAATTTCAAGGCCCTCTTACGTCCGGTCCTTATACGCATGAACTAGTTCTTATTACATGTAACATCGGGTACCAGTTTCCATGTAGTGCTGCGCGGCGCAGCGCGGCGGGCCATTTACACCACTGTTCTCTGCTGTTGCGGCAAACAAGTAAGCGTACTCAACATCTTTGTTTTATTCATCAAATCATGTTGATAAATACGATTTAAAATTTATTAAAAAGTTAAAGGCTGGTACATGTACATTGAATACGAATCCACTGCATATACTATGCAGTACATTGCTGTAATGTACATCAAAGCTTGCTGGTGCATGACGCCAGGCTTGCGCTTTATGAATGGGATAAGTGTCAACAGGAACACAAGGTTCACCATAAGACGAGGTGTTTTGGAGAGTCCCTTTAAGCTCGGATTAACCATGTTTGGCTGTACATGTTGTTTCCGGGAGCTATTGGCATGCCCACACATTGAAACCAACACGTTCTTCTTTCGTTTCAAATCTTTGGCCAGGCTCTCGCACAGTAAACAGACTTCTCATTAGCCACCAGTAGATCTTCTTGGCAGCATTGTTCACCGAGAACAGGGCATCTTAGTAGGTGTGGCATGGATTGTACAGAATTGTGTTTTCCCGTGTTTGTGTCTTGTAGGGATTTCATTTGACGGTGTCGCCAGGTGCAATGCTGGCATTGGCAGAGCACGCCTTGGAGCACAACAAAGTCTTTATGACAAACCTGTCCGCTCCCTTCATCTGTCAGTTCTTCAAGGAACCCCAGATGCAGGTCATGCCCTATGTGGATTACCTCTTTGGCAATGAAACTGTAAGATTTCTTCTGTTTTAATGATCTTTACTGTTAATCCTCTCACATCCCTCGAAATCCACCCAGAAGGGTTTTTGGGGATAGATTTTGCAGGATTGAAGAAGGTAGAACCCCGGCACATTAACCCTAACCCTCCAGGGTACTTTGGCTAGAAATCCTGCCAGACACATCAATCTGTTTCATTTGTCAAAGTGGCTTGCCTGGCCAGTGTAACACTATCCAATAGGTCAACTGTCCCCAAGGCCAAACAGCCTGGGAATCTGTGGATGCTACTCACCACAAGATCCAACAGTGGCACTGTTCAATGAGACCAGCTCCCATTGTCTCAACCTGGCCAGTTTGTTTGGCTGCTGTTGATTGCCCAGCGCATCAAAGTGCAGCAGACTTTTACACCAGGTTTGGCAGGGTTAAGGTTAATGTGGGGTTTGATGACCTTTGCTTGTCAAATTGATTTCTTATGCTGTGGAAGATTGCGGATGATACAGAGTGACTTCTAGGGAGTTCACGTTCCAGGTTTTTTTTCGACAGAACATATCAAACATATCTGCAAGTTGGTGGCCCCCAAAAAAAAAAATCTTGAAAAAAAAAAGTTGGTGGCAGTTTTGTTCCAGAAGTTATGTGAATATTTCTTACGGTAGCTCACAGTCAAATGTTTGATCAGAACTGAAGATTGCACTTCTAGCTTTCAGAACAATTCACCTCCAGTTAAACAAAATTTACACCTTTTGTGAAAAAGACAAAATCTGATTTGTTGTACTATGAACCGTTGTATAAGCCTTGTAAACAAGATGTGAAGAAAGCAAATGTCATGTATTTGAAGAAGGTTGTGGCGATATTACCATTATATAACAAAGAATATCCGTAGATAAACACATCAAAAGTCACACTTGAGACAAAAAACCCATGTCCTGAGAACATGTTTTGAGTCTGGTTGTATTCTGCTTTGCGTCAAGTGTTCATCCAACAAATGGGTGGTGTTGGCATACATGTAAACTTGAAACAATTCGAACGATTGAGTTGACAAATTCTTCCAAGATTTCCAGGAAGTGCATTGAAGATTACAGTACATTTTTTTCTGCTCCTCCATTTAGGAATTTGCAAGTTTTGCAAGGGAACAGGATTTTGGGGTGAGTTCTTATTTTCCTTGTTCGTAGCCCTTCATTGCCTATATCTTGATTACTGGCTCTGAGAAACGAGCCTCAGCTCAGTGTTTTACAGCCAGCTGCACATACAAGGCTAGTTTGGACAGAATCAACTATCTCCAAGACTTCCAAGGATGAAACAGTAACCAGTCCATTGTCACAAGGTTGTGTGTTAACTGAAAAAAATTTCCCTTGTAGTGATTTTTATATCTTTACTAATGAAAGAGCATTTGTGATCCAGCCTGTCAAAATGGTCTGAAATCACCAGAGCCACTTTTGAGATAAATTTCTTTGAAAGAATCTCACATGATTGAAATCAATAGGTACCCTCAACGTTTTCAGCCCTCGTAATGCCCCTTTTCGTGTGGATGTCAAACTAAGAGATAAATCAAAACACAAGAGTTCGCTCTACCCTGCTGGAAACTGAAACAAAACATCGTCATCAAGACTCAGTTTGTAGGATCCGGTCGTGCTTGTGCCATGGAAGTCAAATTCAGATCCTTGTCAGTTTGGATTGGCTCTTTACATCACGTGTTGTTTCACACCGGCAGACAGAGGACCTTGAAGAAGTGGCTCTCAAAGCAGCAGCTCTAGAAAAGAAGAACACGAAGCGGTCGCGCATCGTCGTCATCACCCAGGGATGTAACGACACGATAGTGGCACAGGGTATGTACGTGCGTTTCAAGCAATCCGAGTTGGTTACTTCACCTCGTTAATCCCAACCATGCAAAAAAGCTTCAAAGTCCATCTGGAGGTTGTCGACAGTTTTACCAGGCTGAAGAAGGTAGAGCCCAGCCTCTGTTATTTTACTCAGAGTTTGGTGCTCTTTGAAATTTTAAACACAAATAATGTGCTGTTATGTGTCTACGTAGTGGTTAAATTTTGGAGAATCCTGTAAAGTTCCTGGCAGAAATGCCTTGCAAGTTTGGGATTTTCCAAAGAGGAATCATAACAGAAACCACTCCAAGTCTATGAAAGGTTGTTCATTTAGCTGGATTCCAGTTCATTCCATTGTATTTTTACTCTGATCTCTTCCCACCTCACATCCCTTTGTTGCTCAACTACGCCTTTCATGCAGTCCCCTTTACCCCTTGGCCCTTTATCCAGCCTGCAGCTTTCTTGACCTTTCCTTTTGTCCTCCTGCATTCACCAATGCTTGTTTGCTTGCTTGTCCCGTTCACTTGACGTTTTGCCTTTGAGAAAGATTCTGCTAGGATCGAAACGTCAGTCCCTCCATACTTTGTGATTTCATTGGTTTAGTGATGCGTCTTATTTTGGGGGGGGCTACAGTTCAATGCCCTAGTTTGACAATCATGATTCTTTCAAAAATCATTTTGCCAAATTCCGGAATGCACCCATTGCTTTCTTTGTCATTTGAACAAAGCGGCCAGTCATGGAAATCTGGATTGTCACTTTCAAATATTCTTCATCCTTTGAAATGTGACGCCGTTTCAGTGGTTCCAAAGCTTGTGTTTTGCCCTTGTAACGCAGCTAATGGAGACTGATACATTTGGCTAGTGAGTATTCTGTACTTCCTTCCTAGATGGCAAGATCACAAAATTTCCAGTGAAGCTGCTGAAAGAGGAGGAGATTGTGGACACCAACGGAGCAGGGGACGCCTTTGTTGGAGGTACGTCAAAACTCAAAGTTGATCTACAGTCGATTTCACGGTGGCTTAACTTCACGTGCCACACATTTCACTTCATCAATTGTGCAATAGATTTCATCTCATCAAAGCTGCACAATGCACAAGTCTGTGACTTGCACAACAAATTATTAAAAGTCTGTGCAGCTAAGCAACTTCTGTGAAATTGGCCGTAGGCGTATCGTGCAGCTACAACACAAGGTTGTGGCGCAAGGCTTACGCAAAGTGTGATGTTTCGTCACGTTTCTTGAAATCGGCTGCAGGTCATGGTGGAAGTTGTGTGACAGTGTTCTGACTGTGGGTGTGGCCTTCTTGAACTACTAGGCTCAGCACCTCCAACTCAGGCTTGTCTCACAAATGCCTTCCCAAACGGTGTCCTACAAATCACCATGTCCCCACAAGACCAATTCAAAACCTTATCATGGCCATCAAACACAGGCACCTACCAGCAAGCAAGTCTGGTCCGAGCCAATTTGGCTCATCAGGCTGGTGTTTATTGCGGCTTCCTTGGCACGAAACAACTGAGAATATTTCTGTTCCCCCCTGGATGGGATGCCAGTCCATCACAGGTTGCTTCCCCAGCTAATGCTGGTACCCATTTATACTCCTGGGTGGAGACAGGCAAGCAGGGGTGAAGTGGCTTGCCAAGGGCCACAGCATACTGCCAGCAGCTGGATTCGAACCTCCAACCTCATGATTGGAAGCTACAGACCCTAACCACTTGGCCACATGCCTGCCACACCTACCAGGCATTGGTATTGTTGAAGTAGTTTCCAATGATTTCTACTTTCAGGTTTCCTGGCCCAGCTGGTGCAGGGGAAAGATGTGGCTGAGTGCATACGATGTGCTAACTATGCTGCCAACTATATCATTCAGCGTTCCGGCATCTCATTCGGTGGCAAGTCAGACTACCAGTGATTCTAGAAGATCCCAACCTTTTGTAATGTCGATGAGGAAATTTGGGTGGATTTGTTTCTTCTTTTTTTTTTAATTTGTGATTTTTTATTTCCGAGCTAAATTTCTTTTCCGTGTTCGGGAAATGTGGATTGAGAATGTCCATTCAACTGGCAAATTTTATGGGAACTTGCATTTAGAAATGTATTTTTAAGAAGCTTTAACATTAGTTCAAAAGGTGTTTTTCAGGCTGCATCGCAATCTGTTGCCTAGAGCTAGGTCTAGGTCTTCCCTCCATTGGAAATGCGTGGAGACGCGTAGACAGTAGACGTAGCCGTAGCTCTGGAAGCCTCTTTTCAGACACAGCCTAAGAATCTGTGAATCCACAACAATGTCCCTCACATCGCAGCCAGTTTGGTTTGAAACAGAAAAGGACACTGTCGTACTGCTTTTTTACATGATGGAGAAGATATCTACTGCAGTGGATATGCGGGGTTGTGATCTCCGAGGATTGTTCCGTAGTTCAGGATTGTTGACCCTAAAATTGTGGGTATTTGGAAGTTTGACCAGCCATGGTTTGGTACCTGTTTGCACTTTGAACAGAAAAACCAAGGGCGAGATCCCAATAACCGTAGCCGTTTGGAAGAGAGCTCATGCCTTGGTAACTATCGAGAGCCTGAAAAAGTCAGGATTTTATTTTTATCGCTACAAAATTGTGTTTTTTTCTTTAGTACCCTAGTCCCACAACTACACATCATAGATACGAGAAACTGCTCAGTAAAGAGGTTTTTCACGTGATGTAACATGACGGCCGAAGGCATTTCAGGAAGCGTACCGTGTCTGTGGATTTTTGAATCTGCGCATTTCTTTTGGCAGTTTCATGTGCGCCAGAAGGTTGAGACGCGCACATCCATGTAAATTGAATGCTGATCGTCAAAAATCATGTGTCTTAAAATCCTCTTTAGTGGGCCATTAATGGAGCGATCAGTAGGCCTCAATGCATCATGCTTTCTGTACATGTGCACTCTCCTATGGAGTTAAGGAAGGACCAAAGCCCACTGATGAGCACCGTAGGAAAGCGCAGCATGGAGTGTTGCATCATCATTACAGAGGTCTATAATATGTATTGAAAAACAATACAAACAAAAGCATGTGGTGCTTTCTGAAAAAAGTCTGATGATTATATCAGACTCATTACATTAGACTTTTTAATTCAGGAGTAGGGCACCACTCTGATGTCACTTCCTCCATTTTGACCAACTTGGAGCATAAATGGATTTCAGCCAGCACTGCCAACCGTTTTAGAATGTTCCGTGACAAATGTTAGCTTCTCTTGTTACCAGCTCAGTGTTCAGAGAGCTTGGCTCATCAACAGCTTGGCTTGGTCACTGACGTGTGTCTGAAGTCAAACAAGAAAGCACTTTGGGAGATCAGATACAGGAACAGAAAAATCCATTTGTCACACCTTCTGAGAAAAATCAGCTTGAAAAAAAAACAAGAAAACAGGGTCCCTTACTTTGGCAAAAGTGCACTCTGCCTGTTTCATTGAGTCTTGTGCACATTTTGAAATTTTGATTTAAAATTTTTTTAAAGTATCCAGATAGATGGCTTTTCGGGGGGGGGGTTGTTAAATTTCTGATTTTCCCCCTTTGGCCTCAGACCTCTTCATTAATATTTGGATTTTTTCCATCAGTAAGGATACATACATATATTGCTCGAAATGTCAAAGGTCAAGACACCTTTACTTATTCTCATTAGCATAAAGGAATGCAGAGAGCTACTTGTGCATTGGTATTTAGTGGAGAATTTTTAAATTTTACACGAAGCATTAAAACCTGTAGAAGGCATCATCGTACTGAAAAAAATGTCTGATCGGTGGGAAGGCAGGATCTGTGAATCCAATTCTGTAAATGCCAGTGGTTATGTTTTTTATTTGTCTTACAATTTGAATTTCACCAGAAGTGCAGCTTTGTAACCAGATATCTCTGTTGTGGCTTTTAGGCATTGGCAAGCAGGTTGTTCTGTCATATGTAGCAAACTAAAAGTATTAGTTTTTGCAAACCGACGAGGCTTTGATTTATCATTTGATGGGAGAGTCGGCACTCCTGCCGTTAAATGGAGTAATGTTCTTGAATTCCCCTTTGCAACGCACACCAGTCAGGATATTGCCATTTTGGTGAATCCAAGGATAATTGTGACACCCGACTGTTCTCAGTTTTTAATTGGGCTTATTTTGCCTTTGTAAATGGGCGAATATTTTCTGGCAGTTGATCAGCCAAATAACATGCTGCTGTACACTTTCATTGTGAAATTGTCAGTATTGATCACATAAAACCATTTATTTCTCCTGTGTCGTCATTTGACTTTTCAATGGAAGTTGCAAAAGAATGAAAAAGTAGCTGAAGCTGGCAGAAAGTACATGTACCTGAAGTAGTCCTTACTCAAGACAAGTATCGCATCCCTCATTATGTAACTGGGGCTGTTGTACTTTCCAGTCCTGTTTGACATCTAATTGTTCAGGGCCTAAATTCACAGCACTGCTTAGCACACAATTTCACGCTAACAGAGGCCGTGTATAGTTCATGGAAACCATAAGCAATAAGCACAGCCAACGGCATGTTAACCGGAGAGGAAAGATTTGCTCAAACTTAGCGGCATAACGATAGAAATCTCTATGCTTTAGCACAACCGTGGCAATCACTGCCATGAAATAATGCTTAAAGGTTAGTAGATTTTTCTGCTCAAGTTAGCATGGCTTTTCTGCCAACTGTTAAGTAGCTCCGCGAAATTAGGCCCAGGCAATTATTGGGACTTCAGAGAGCAAACAATGTGGATGATACAGGGCTTGTTTCACACGGATTTGGACCTTGATCAGTGGCTCCAAGACTGGTTTGCTCCATCCATTACGCTGGTTCTGGTGTTAGTGAACCAACTATCACTAACCATCACTAATTGCAATCCGGATCTGTGCGAAATGAATAGGTCAGTAATACACAAATGTCAGGCTCGTTAAAGCCTAGAGGAACTAGGATGGAAGTGTCTCCAATGGTACACTTGACATGCTTCATGAATTAATACTTGTACACAGTGAAGACCATAATTTCTATGTGATTTCGGAATTATATGAATAAATGGAGCTTTTCAGTTGAAATTTCAAGTGTCAAGATATTTCTTGTTCTGCCATGTGCATTAATCAATAGAAGATGAAAGCTTTGCCAATACCCAAACTTCTTGATCAAGGCATTATATATAATCAAGTCATCGTTTCGATATGACTCTAAGTAAGAACCCAAGTCAGACTTTGAAGGAGTATTAGTCCAAACCACAATTCATTGCCATTACACGTGCTTGCATCTTGATCCCCACAAGTACTGTTCCTTCCTCGGCCTCCTGGCCGGCCCGGCCCCCCCAGGCCCATCGTACGTCACCAAGCAACCATAGTCATGTAATAGCGCCCTCTGTACTACAAATTATGTTCTACAACAATGCCATTCTTTTTCCGGTAGGTCATAAAGCTTTAAAATACGCTATGGCTAGAGAATGGCGAATGAATACTATTCTTGGAAATGTGTTTTTTATATATCACGCTTGTGTCTGCGGTATAAATTTCGGTCATGTTCTTATTGGTGGTGTAAAACTGCAATTCGGTTTACCGTTTGAAAGCTACTACGTTTGTTTTATATTTCTTCAGTTTTAAAAGCGCATCAAGGGATAAGGACGTCAGATGAAACGTAGACGCAGATTTCACCAGAATATGTAATAAGCCAATCAAATCATGTTTTGATCTGCGCTTGTCCAATCATATTGCGTAACACAAAAGATGTAGGCGTACGTTGGCTCATCCATGGTCATATTGATGTTATAAGAATTTATTACTAGATATTTGATAAGTATCATTATTTTCCATACGTGGTCACTTAAAAACTATCAATTATTATTTTATGTAGCAAAATGTAATTTTTAGTTGTCTGGTGAGTTTATCAGTCTAAAATCCTAGGTGATAGGAAAGTCTGGCCAAATTTTTATTGATCAGATTCAAAATCTCCTTACGCAATCTGTTATTCGCACAGCAAGTTTGCAAGCAGTGGCGTATAGCCAAATTACCCGTATCGACAAAAGTTACAAGGGGCGATTGATCAATTTTTTGTCGTTTTCATGCTTGAGTGCAGATTTATCACGTCTTTGAATTATAATTCAAAAATCGTTTTGTTTGGATTCAACCATGTAAATATGACCCCATTTAATGTAAGATGGCGACGGTTATTGAGCTTGGATTTGGAGCCTTCTGTCAGCGATTTTATCGTCTGCCGTAAGTTCTCACACACTCACTAGTTATACCAAATATACCCGTACGTCATGCATGTACTGTACATGTAGTACGTGCACGTAACACGGAGTACAATTTATTATTTTATCAAACTGAACCAAACATTGCTTTGTTTTTTTCGCTAAGTGGGGGTGATCCCAAACATACCTTTGTAGCTTGGGATGGTTGTTAACTCCAGTAGAGTGCCCACGGCCACGACCGCTTGTGTGTTAACTCCTCCAGATAATGAGTATTTCTAGCGACGTTGACATGTGATTTCGTCAGTTCGTTGCAAATTTGAGCACATAATAAACGGACCGTGGTCACGGACATTGAGGGAAGAAATGTGCATTGATTTTTCCATGGTGGTGGAGAGCTTCTCGTGTTCTTGTGAACAGTTCCTTCGTACATTGCATTTAGTGCAGGTTTGTTGAGTTCGTGTAAACTGAAAATTGTGGACTGTTTTAAATTTATAATTCTGTGGGGCATGTACATGAACATGATGAATACTGAGTGATCATGGGGTTCAACCCTTGTACTATCCTCGAAGTTAGAAAGACTAGCCCCATAGGCCTATCTATATTCAGTTGGACTACATAGTAATAATCACCAGTACATAAACATTATGTGGAATGAAATTTAAAGCCTCGAATTTTCCGTGCTAATGTTAAACATTGGTCAAACAGTGTTACTGAATAATGCGACTTGCTTGGCCAACCAAAGTAGGCAAGACAGCGCATGTTAAGGCCCTGCTAAGAAACTACCAAATGCAGGAAATGGCCACCAAGGTATTGTTAGCCATTTTCATTTCGAAGTGAGATATATTCAGTTCAGTTAAGTAATAGGCCTAATATTTCAAGATGTACTTTGAGTCTGGGAGATGTTAATATTATTTTTAATAACACGTTTTGCCCTTACACTGACGCCACTCAGTGCTTGTCTGGAGAATTAATGTTGCTGAAACAGAAATGATTATATTGGACACTCGTAAATGTGTGTCTTTGAACTATGAATATACATGTTTGTTTGAGAAGATGAAGTTTATATGTCATCGTGCCATACCCCCAGAACTGCTGGGTTTGTCATTCACAACAGACGACAAACCCCACAGTTCTAGGGATAGTCATGCCTAACTTGCATTTTGCTGGTCAAAATGTTTTTGACTTCCATTCATGCCAATCATTACCAGTGCATAACTTGCATTTTGCTGGTCAAAATGTTTTTGACTTCCATTCATGCCAATCATTACCAGTGGTATGAGAGTCCAAAAATACATGCATGAGGTAGACATGCATTACAAGAACATTGACTTTTTCACATCCAAGGCAGGCACCTTACATGTACAATGAATATGGAATTTTCTTGACGAATGTTACTACATGTCTGAATTTCCATTGCAGCCTGTCATGATTAATTCCATGTCTTTGATGTGGATGATTCATCATGTCTGTGTCGCAAGAGTCTAGCTTGTAAACATGGTTTTTGATGTTCGTACATAAGGTTGGAGTTGGCACATCAAAAACACACTGATAAATATGACCGGCAATTTTTTGGTCATCACTCATACATGTAGATCCTACAGCTTTGATGAAATGAGAAAGTAATCATAATATTGAGAAGGAACCAGTTACATAATCACTTATCTTCATTTTTTTTTACAATAGGCTTGTCTCATTCTAAGTATTGGCTCTCTTCCTGAATCACGTTCATCAATAAATGCCATAAGCTCATCCCTGAATTTTTAAATTGTTTTGTAGGCAACTTTTGAAGAAATAGCCAAGGTTTGCCAACTGAGTCGCAGCAGAAGTTTTCAAGATCCCTCAGCCTCTGTTTTATGGTAAGTAGCCAAGGCTGCATTTTCTTTGTCGTTATGACTGCTGCACCCTTGGATGTAGTAAATTTGTGACTGTGAGTTAACCTGATTTTACAATGCCTGAATAGATCCATCTCATCTGATCAGTGTGTTTTTCGTTGATTTGACCCAACACACGACGCAAATGCACAATGGAGCCGTGTACTGTCGAAAAATGCAGTGCATGGTGAATAGAACGTTCTAATCCACAATCATGTGAAATGTCTGAACTTGTTCGTAATCCAGGCACTTACTTGAATGGGGATTTATTTAGGCATCGTATAAATAGTATACAAATAATGAATGTTTATGAGTGCAGTGGTAAGAATATTTTCATGAGTTGAAATATGAAATGTTCCATTCAACGAGCCAGGTGAAATGAATAGAACATTTCATCTGTCAACGAATGAAAGTATTTTTTCCATTGCATGTATGAAAAGCATTCATTACTTGTTTTATGTTACATCTAAGTAGATCTTTTTCATTTGATTGGAGGATAACATTTATGAAATATATGAATGTAAATAAGGTACTTCTGTCAACTGCTTTTTCCTGGTCCAATATATAAACTTCAAACTTGGTGTCCGATTGAAATGTTCAAGAATGCGAAAAGACAAAATACCAATGGTTAAATAATATTGAACGTTTCACTTGTGCCATGGAAAGAACTTCATTCAGTGGCAATTGAAATGATCCATTCCACTTGACTTCACCTCATGGAATGGAACATCCCATCCATAACCTCATAAGTTATAAGTTTTCTTGCCATTGCACTTAAAATATTCATTATGTAGTTTTATTTATAGGACACATGAATAAATCCCAGTCATCTGTTTGGTAAGTCACTGATCAGAGAAGGTTCTGTCCCGGCTTTTCACACGAATAGATCAAATTTTAGCTCAGGTTTGGAACTTGGATACTTTGTGTCGCACATTTATGCTGGACCGGCCAAGCAAAAGGGTGACTTGTTCACAAAGAGGAGTTATCCAGGATTTATCCAGGTGTTGTACAAAATGAATGAATGTTGCACATTCATGCAGTGGGAAGAATTATTTCTTTCGTAACAGCTGGGATGATCTGTCAGAGTTACACTTGTAATCCGTATAAAAATTATTTCATCACGATTATCTTTGTGGTTTCATCTGGAGTGTGTTGAGCTGTTACAGTGTATATCTCTGTTATTCAGAAGGTATAATTTCAACATTATGTCGGTGGTGTTTATCAGTGAAATCCCTGACATTGCTTGCCCAAACTCAGATGTTTCCTCCCTTTGGGTCCAGCACGGAAAGAATAAAACTGCACCTCAGTAGAGGTCATGAAAAAAATGTTGTACAGATTTGAAGGAGCCATCCATCATACTTCAGTCTCAAGTTTGACAGCTGTTGGTCAAAACAAAATGGGGGAGGTCTTGGGCTTCTGTGACTGCCACTAGGCTTCCAACACTTAAAGTGGGACGGTTAGATTATCATAGGAGGTTTCAAGATTGGTTTTCTATATTTGCTTCTAATTTACACAAATTAATTTATTAATATTCTTTCTGCAGGTGTGGTCAGGAGTAACAGTGAATCCCATCAAGAACCTGTACATACATGTAACAACAGGATTTCTGACTGCACTTTGCATTAAGCCATACCACAGTCCTTCGGAAGCCAGTTTGGTTGTACTCTGTTGTTGAGCATATGCTGTACATGTACATGCATGTTAGGTATTCAACCGGCTTTTGCTTGTGTTCAGTGTAGTCTCCAGCTACAGGGTACAATACTGCTTTTGATTAAAAACTAAGAAGAAATGTGATTGTAAGTCAGTAGCACAGTAACAAACTATGCACCCCAGCATTAGCTGCATGTGACCGCTGGGCATAATGGTGAAGGACAGTGACTCTTGCCTCGCCAATCCCAAGTACACGCAGTGGATCCTGGAAGCCATCTCCAAAATCAAGAAGCAAAAGCAGCGCCCTTCGCAGGATCGCATCTGCCATGTTGTTCATGCCAACAGGGGACTGAGTGAGGAGCTAGTGCTGGAGCAGCTGGATCTCAGTGTCAAGGATGGCAACATTTCCAAGGTGATCAACAAAGGTATCGCATCCTATCGCGATGGGGATGCCAAGAGCAGCATGAGGAAGCGCGGCCCCTCAGCTGCTGCCTCCGTTGCTGGCAAGAACTCTAACATGCTGAAGTTGATGCATGATGCCATTGTGAATCTCGGTGATAGTGGCTCAACTCTCAAGAGCATTGAGCGGTACATTCGACAATCACGTGCAGATATAAACCATGGTGAGCTCACGGCACAAATAAGGCTTGCTGCCAAAAAAGGTGCCACTAATGGAAAACTTTTGAAAGATGGGCGCATTTACAGAGTACCCAAGACAATTGGAGGAGGCACCCATTCAAGAGATGCAGCAAGTAGCAGTGCATCAGTAAAGTCAAAGGTAAGACAACTTGTCTGGAGGCAAGTGCATTTCATTCTAAACATCTTCAGATGGTCAGCTCCAAGACAAACCATTTACATGTTCCATTCATTTTCAAACAACAAACTTGCCTTTGTAGATTTATACATCCAGGAACACTGCCACATGAATATCACATAAATCAGTATTTACTTACTTAGCCTCTGTTGCTGCCATCTCACAGCGGATGAAGTTGACTGGCACTTCCCTTCTCAGACCTCCCAAGTTCAACAGTTGGAAGTGCATGTATTTGATCTGAATTTTTGTTGTGTGAATCGTGATACAGTGCATGCACGGTACATTACAACAGCATTGACTACAACATGAAAGTCCAAAGAAAGATATTTACACTTTTCTTAAAGGTATGCATTGCTGAAATGACTTGAACTTCTGGCCTTTCAAATTCAAACTTGAAGCTGTTAAATTACATTTATAAATGATACAAATGTCCACCAAAATGAACTTTGGGGTACATCTTTTAGTCATAAACTTGGTTCACATGTAAGTTACATTCATGTGCAGCCAGGAGCTATCAGGCAAAAAGGAGTGACAAGTTTATTTAAATGAGTCAGTTCGATATTCCAAAAAGTTAAGGTCTTTCGGGAAAATGCCATACATATGGGGTGGTACATGGCTACACAGAATGGCTCTGACAAGAACAGACATTGGCACGCTCGTGCTGCTGTTCCCAAATCACTTCGGACACACTTCAGTTTGGGCATGTGCTGTAGAATACCGAAGTGGCTATGTTCATGTGTGGGCCAAGTTTACAGTTTATATGTACATGCATACTGACTGTTCAGCGATTCCTTTCTGACTACTGTTGTGCCTTGAAATTCTAAACATTTTCGCATTGTGGTTGTGAAGGTATCCCAGGTGACCTTGGAAAAGTCTGTTGGCTGTAGGCAAAACAGTTAACCACAAAGTAGTACAACATAAATCCACCTGGGATGACTTTTGTTGTGTGTGGTTTGGAAAAAGTAAACACCAGATACCAAGGGTGTCTGGCTACATGTATGATTTGTAAATAATGGTTTCAAGTTGGTCATTATGTACATTTAGCTGATACATTAGGCATTTGATACGGTATGCTAGTCTGCGTCTGCCACTAGATGGTGTACACATTTTCATGTCCATGAAGATTTATTTGCTTTGTGATTTGGTCCTTGGTAAGTGTAGACTTTAAGTTTAATTTTTCATGTCGTTGCCCAGGTTTAATTGACTTTTAGCAAAAACACTAGATTTGGCTGAAGTTTGGCTCATAAAAAAATATTTTTATAAAAATGGGTGGCCAAACAACTTGGACGGCCATCTTTAATTCAGAAGTAACTCTAAATGTGTCATTAATTTCAGGGTATAAAGTCAGTGTAAAAGATTCATGTGATCTGGTCCTGCAGTCCAGTCATGGCAGTGCAGATGGTTACTGAAGAGGCTCCAACTTTAAATAATCCCACGAGTATGACTGTTAGAATTTTAACTATCACAAAACTTAAAATATTGAACAAAAGTACATGTACATGGACGGTGTATGTTTATAGAGAAACATTTCCTTGCACAGAATCTGATTAATTTGTACATGTGCATACATGCATCCTTGGCTCATTGTAAACATGCTTCTCAATGGCATCTGTGTTTAAAAAGAATGCACATGGTTGCTTCCCAACCCACTTCTCCGTGGGAACCCTTTGCTCTATGATTGAACGGTTTTGCTCCTCTTTTGTCAAGAGCGATTTGACATTGGGTTGACACCAATGTGATCACATGAAGTATTATCCTTGGAGATTGCAAGAATCAGAGCACTCTGGAAATGGATGACTGTTTAATCATGATGTTTGTGTTCCTTGTGCTGACCACATGCTTAATTAATTTCCTGCTGCCATGGGACAGCAAGGATGGTTTATCAGGATACTCAGGGTAGGGTCTGGTCTGGTCAGGTCAGGCGGGGATCTAATTAGGAGTCTCAAGGCCACTTCCCGTGGGACCCATGGAACACAGCCGCTGGACATACATGTAGATCTGTTAAATGACCCCTTTAAAAAAAAAGCATTCCCCATCCTGTGAAGGTAGTGAAAGTTGCTTAGTAAATAAACAGTACCTGTTTTGTACTTCACGCACATGTTAAATGTTCAGTTGAATCAGATTATAACATTCCCAGAACCAAACATATGCACTTAATTCTGCTCTTATGTGGAAATCATCCATTACAAGGCTAAAATCACTAACATGATATAGGATAAAGTGCTATCAAAATGTAATGATTCAACTGTGAATTGAATAGTTTGCCTTTGGTAATAACAGAAGACAGTTTTTGAAGAGCAGAATGCACAGATACATGCATCACAGATTTTTCCTTAATTTTTAGGTGAAATTTCATTCATTTTTACATTGGAAGCAGTCATTTTATTTCCTCACCATTGGCTCATGTTTGATTTCAGTTGTCAAACCGACCCAAGTCTGAAACTCACTCCCCCAACAAAAACATTTGCAGATTTTGATATTGGTATATATACATGTACCAACATAAATCACACTCACACATGCAGTGTTCGTTGTGGTTCTCGCCAAATTAAGGCATAGTTTTATCTGGAACACAGGGCACCATTAATCTCTGTTAAGAAACAAGTCACATTGAAATCCATATACTTTATCATGGCCTTGCCAGTAATAAATTGGGTCCCTTTCAGAGGGTATTTCTGTCTGCGTGCGGGGAGTAGTCTTAATGCTGTGCCAGTTTTGGTGTCAGGTTTCACCACTTCAATGTTGTTTGGAAATTAGAATATTGGTTGATGAAATACCCCTGGAAAAATATAACCTGTGCCATGGCGTAACTTGATACCATTCTTGGCAGTACATTGTAAAAGGGTATCCCGCATTATGTGCAGTCGTGGTGAGCTTTTTGTACTGGAGGTACAGCTGGACCAGTGTACGTTACATGCACATGTAGGGTAACGATGGGTGCCATTTGTGGAGTATAGCTGTTCTTCCACTTACAGGAATTATTTTTACATGTACAAAATTTTCAGCCTTGTATATATTGTTCCAGTTGATTTTAGTGAAATGTACATCACTCTGAACATTGTACCGACACAGTTCTCCAAACAAAATTATCTGCTGTACTTTTGCTCTTTTATTTATGCAGAATTTCACTGACTGATGTTCTATTTTCATATAAAATGTACAAGTCTTCAAGGCCACATGCTGTTTCAGTCTTGTAGCATTGAACCATGTTTTATATGTTCCAGTATGTGCTTATGACAGTCATGTAATCATTAACCACAGGACTATGTTTGTTTCATACCCCCTACCCACAAGTTCAAAGGTCACAGGCAAAGTATGCGCCAGGGATTCAGGTTTTTCAACCTCAGGGTGACCCGTTGTACATCCCTGTGGGAAAGCAGTCAGCTTGCTGGCAAATTGTGTTTTTAGTGGGTGAATGGCATCCCATAGGCCCTAACCCCAGTGACCTTGCCTGTAGTGAAATGTAATACATCCTGTATGTGTGCAGAGTGTGTGCATTTTGCTTTAGCAAATTGAGTTGCTAATCATGTTGGTCCTTGTCCAGGCAATTGGGTCTCATGAGAATGGGTGGTGATGTGAGTCAATTCAGTTGGATGCCTCACCTGATTGTTGAGCTTAAATCTGTCTGCAGTGGGGTGTGGTGATTACACCATTCACCTATTCACTGAAAAAAATGTCAGTAGTATGACTGATACAAACAATTAACTTCTACCTTGAACCGATGATACAGCTACACGTAATCAGCAAGTCTGTTCACATTCTATATAGTTTACACATTCATGTTTAGAACAAAACAGTCAAACAATGCTATCAAAACAATCTGATGAATTCCATAAGAACTTGGTTTTTCATTTGACGCACATATATTGAAACTGCCCAAGCTAGAAATAACAACATTGCGTTTGTAGGCATAAATTGTAACAGAAACTCAGGTCAGTGGAGAACACCAAACCAAATAAACTTTAATAAGCTAATTTGGTGCAGCTCATGTTCTACTGTTTGGGTTAGGGCCTATAGCCATTATTGTGAGTAAGTAAGTACTTTGGTGAATCCTGAATGAAACATGGGTCATCGTGATGAGATGGGAATGATAAGTGGGAAATCTGATCTACCCATGCTCCCTACTGAGTGGGGAATATTCAGTTTCCAAGATATTTGTTACTGATTTTAGAAATGTCGTGATTGCCTCTTGAGCCATTGTTTTTCTTTCCATTCAGCACAAACCCACAATATACATACCCTGTGATTTGGGGCACAATTTCCAGTGATTTCCGTGGAGATTTACATGTACATCACCCGCCATATACAAATCATTCAACAACACAAAGCACAGTGACTGTTAACTGTGATGTAATGATGACTGTTATAAATGAAATGAAATAAAATAATAATCATGTGCCCACAATATAACAGACACAGTAAATGGTCTAAAACTCACTACACATTGGAAATTTACTGTCAGTTGTTCCCTGATGATGGGCTGTGATCCAGAACTGAAGTGCCCTTTTTCATGAACTGTGATCAGAGCATTAGTATGCAGTTATTTCAGCAGTTCAGTCAAGGCCACGGAGGTTGTGTCAAGTACACATGACCTATAATGGCCTCGCATGCAGTACACAGGTGGAACCCTCTCCACCTGTGTGGCTACTGTGGAGTACCCTTCAATTCACTGCCTGACAAAGTGTAAGATTGATAAAGGACAGTGGATGACAGTATTACACATCTGGTATCAGATGATTAATATTTGCCGCATGAGCATGGGTGTTGGCTTTAATGATGTCATGGTTCACCTGTTTTCCTATGTACTGTACATGTACATGTAGGGTGTAGTACATTGTACATGTTCACTGTGCACGCTCATTTTACAGGCTCATGTACGTGGCATACCTTGTGCATAAGAAGTTCCCAGTCATTGTTAATGTGATACAGTTACCATTTACAGTACGTGACATGCCGTTGATATGATTTGTTATGGAGGACAGTTGCAGTGGGCTGGGATGCATTTGTACCGTACTTTCTGTGAGGAATTCTGGCTCTCTTCTTACCGTTCATCTGCACATGTGCACAAACGAACAGCCCTCTGATTTGTTGACCTTAACAGAGAAAGAAGAGACATAATCAATGGCACACATTGGTAGCAACAGAGCAGACATACTGATTACAGTGGAAAAGGATAGGCCGATTGTGGGCTGACTCAGATGTGTACATATATGGAACAGGTGTTGTGCAACCTGATGCATAGTGTGTAGACATGTTGACATGTGCTGTGTTTATGTAACCTCTTGAGATAGGGGATCAATGAAAATGCAGAGGCACACATCACACTTAGAGCAGTAATACTTCAAAATAAATGCATCTCCTACACATGTTGTGTTTTTGTTTTTAAGTAGTTTTTATTGCAAATGCAGTCCAAGTACGAAAAAGTAACGAACTATGGTACATGGTATATGCACCCGTATGTAGATGGATCATATTCATTATAAGGTATGGAATCAGAACTTACGCAACCAACTTATTTGTTTGTTTGTTTGTTTGTTTGTTTGTTTTACCCAAGTCTGGGTATTTTGCCCAGCTTTTTAAAAATTTTCCCTTTATTTATTTGGCTTAAAGACGTATTTAATGTTCAATGGATTTCCAATGGATAGCACCCTCTTGGTAGTTGGCTTAGAGATGTATTTAATGTTCAGTGGATTTCCAAACCTGTGTCTTGTGCGTACTTGCCAACCATTCCAATTTAATCGGATCTGTCCTGACATTTAAGTTTTCAGATAGCAAAAAATCAGAACCTTCCAATTTCTGTAAACAGGCAGAAAAATGTAAAAGTCCTGGCAACAGAGGATGCTATTTGCAGAAAAAAAGGGCGCTATTTCTATTAAAAGGCAGAGCTGTTTATGGAGAGTTGTGACATGAGTGTCATGGTTGTTGGAAACAAACTGGCAGGTACATGTATATTCACCAGTGTACATGTACATGGACAGTTGGTACAGTACATGCATGTCTGTAGCCGCTTGCTCTACTCTACACATAATGAACAGCTATTTTATTTTCAAAATCTGAAGCTTGCAACTTTCTAATTTAACAGCTCTGAAAAAGGCCGCTATATGCTATGTGAAAAATGGCAGTTACCAACAGACATGTACATGTGTGTACCGTACATGTAAATAGCTTCCCTTGCATGGCTGCCTGTTTTGCTATAGACTCCTAAAATGGGTGTTCCAATTTCTGACCGACCGTTGTGATGGCAAGTACTTGTATGTTTGTGTTATTATTTAAGTCGATCCTTTCCAAGGGGGAAAGAGGGAGGGCATGTGTTTACATAGCAAAGATGGTCCTGTGGTGGGAACCGACTACGTGTGCTTGCAGCAGGTTCATGTGCGTTTGGCACAGGACATGCTGAGCACGTGCTACAAATTTCCATTTGAATGAACTTGTATATGTAGCTCGTGTGCTGGGCACATATACGGACCTGGTTTAGAAACTTCCCACAAGCCTGTCTCTTCTCCGCTGGTGAGGGTGGACTTTACCTTGTGGCAGATAATACGGAAGTTTCAGACATGAAACCCCATTCCTTTATAGAAAAAAATTGCTACTTGTTGATACTTCTTCTTGTTGACACCACTCGCGTCAAAATTAAATTGCCATTTGGAATCACCTCATTGCCTGTACGAACTCATGAAAATCATTAAGGTGGCATATAAACTAATTTGGAAAGAAAGTGCACTGTCTATAGAGCCATTTGATTAACATCTAACAGGTCCCTGGCTGTCAGCAGTGATGAGTATTGAAACCACGACACCGCAAGCCGTATAAGGAATTGTTAATTTGTATGTGAATGCATGTGTGGTTTCGCTTTTCTGCTCAAAACTCAGCTGAAGAATCACCAACCAAGGGATGATTCAAACCTGGCATGAAGAGGTGATTTCAAACAGGAAAAATCATCCAATGACTTGGGATGGTAGAGAGTTAAAGTATGCCGAGATTGTTAGGCTGCAGCTTAAAATTGCGCACAAGTCTGGGGCTGTGGCTGTAGCCAATTCCCATAGAGTTGTGTGTAAAGTTACGGTATTATGGACATAGCATAGCATAGCATAGAGGATAGGTCTTCCTAGAAAGACAAGAGCTTGAGCAAACTCCCCTGTTATGTGAGCTTCCCACTGTAACATGTTTCTTGATGTGCCCAAGTGGGCTATCCACCATTTTCACATGACAGCATAGCTCAACTTTACCCTGCCAATTTGCAGCAGTGGGTCTACACGGAAAGAGTTCCTCGTCACGGGCCCTGCCAACCACAAAGCATGCAGTTTGGCTTGAGCAAGAGAACACTCACCCGGCCCCCTCGGACACTGAAGCCAGGTGCTACTATTGAGGCCCATTAACACACATGCGCAATATTTGACGTTTACTCTGTAGCAGAAAACCTTTCGGTATTTATGTTAATGATAATCCACAACAATGACGTACATTGTACCTTGACGCCATACTCAACAAGAATGCTGATTGGCCATTAGGGATTAACTGATGATCAGATCAGACATTGGATCGAGCCAATGTTTGGCAACATCAGTAAAACATTGGATCGGCAACATTTGACCTTCCTTGCCGATGTGAGTGTCAATGTTACATTGAAGAAAGGAACAAACTGTACACTCAGTTTCAGCAAACTCGTATTGTTATTCGACTATGAATAAAAACAGTGTTTTTTTGGTCATTTGGTGAGATAAATGAACAGTTATACCATAGTTAAACCCATGTAAAGTGTCCCGAAAATTACGGCGGGCGATCCCTGATGCAGCAACACCCTGTGTGGCACCACAAGGTGCTGTGTGACCAGTCTGAAGGTACCGTTAGCCCGAGATGTAGCCTTTGCTCAAGGCATGCTTGGCTACCTGAACACACGGCACACACCTCTGCCGTTAGCACGACGAAGGCACCAACGTGAGTGGTGAAGCCATCAGCCGAGCATGGTGCACCGATGCCGTGCGTGCCTTGACTAAAGGCTAGACATGATTCAGCCCCAGGTGCTGTGTGTATATTCTGCATGTATGCACCACATGCGTCGGGTTTGAATACAACAGAGCACTGTTGGTACTGCACGAGCGGCAATGTGATGTACGCAATTCTCTCAACTTACTGACAGTAAAGGCAAAAAACTAAACCTGTTATTGGTAATGTGTAAACTGACATTTTAAATTTTAAGGGAGTACACTGGTTTTTTATTGTTATGAGCAGGCTTACATCCTACCCGTATTAAGGTTGTGTTTTCAGTTATTGTCCGTTAAAAATTGGATCGGATCGGACATCTGCCAATGTTCCAATTAAGACATCGGAAATTGGATCGGCAGTTAAAACCTACATCGGTTGATCCCTATTGGCCATAACAGGCAGTCACAGCGTGGTATCTTTGGGAAAATTTCTCTGGTTTCTGACGCAGCTTTTTATTGATCCACCAAATGATGTGTCCACTCTGAATGTAAACAGTGGAATAGAAAACCATGTGTTCCATTTTTTTTTGTCTATGTGGAATTCCATTAATGTAAATGGGCCTTTAGATGAATTGAAATTCCAAGTTTTTCATCCCTAAATTGTGTTGCAAGATCTAGGCAAGTTGTTCAAAAGTTTCCAGTGGATTTGGTATTGCCTGTTTTCTAAGATGTTGGCCAATCATTTACGGTAGGGTCCATGAGGCACCTGTGCTAAACTCTAATCTATGCGGGTGGACGATTTAGCTGTCATGAATGTTTCCGTAATTATGGTAGTCCATAGGCAACCATCATCTTAAATTTTGTGATTGCCTCCATTAACTTTGTACACAGTAAAAACTATGACCTCAGATTTAGACTATGACGTCATTTTAGACTAATTGGTTAGCTGAAACAAGACATGTTTACATTGATATAACACCACTTAATACACAAGTATGAATTTATTGAAAATGTTTTGTTGGTTTACATGATAAAGAAATGGTGAAGAAAAATGGGTGTGTAAAGGCTTAAATGCACGCCAGTGTACGTGCACATGTAGGTAAAACATCGTTTAGTCACATGATTCTTTTTTCACTCATGAGGACCTGTACTGCTGCCCAAAACAGTAACCTCAGGATCTATTGGGCCCTGTATTGTCCCCACACCACCTCAACACTCTCTATTCCTTTTTACACCAAAAGAATATTTTCAATGCAGTACAGTGTAGTATAGATGCTAATGGATTAATCAACTGAAACACTTCAGTTCTACACAAGGCATAGCTGATGCCTCAGATAAATGTATGTAGATCTGTCAGATTTGGGCGTTGTGCTATCACAAAGTCAGGTGCACACTTTGCTGGTTTATTTGTACCTGAAGTGAAGCAAAACACGTGTCACCACTGATCACGTGGCTTGGCATTGCTTTGAACGGCTTTGTCTCTTCCTATGTGTTTGTCGCACACCTTACAGGATGACCGGCCAGTTGCCCCTCCAATGGCCGTGTGTGGTTGTTGCCAGGCAACAGCGGACTGTAATCGGGAGGGCAAGCCAGAACAACTGCTGTCATGTGTTGATTGTGGAAACAGTGGTAAGAAAGTGTTTAAAGACTGCAACAACATTATATGTGGTTGTCACAAAAGTCAGGAGGCGGTGTAATGAGTGTGTGCTGTTTGTATTATGTAAAACAACAATTCAGCGTTTTTTTATTGGTTGTCTTGTGCTTGATGTTACAAGTGAGATCTGCAGGAATAGTGGTTATACCACATCGGATGTTTACCAGTACATTGATTTGTAATTTTGTTATCAAAATATGGAATGGATGTGAGGCTGTACTGAAGATGTGAGAGGAATTTCAATATCTTAGGGGTGTCAAAAAATCCTGTTAATTGATAAAGTCGTGCAGATATATACATGTAGGTTATAACTGATTTCTTTCACTTGGAAGTTCCTGAAGATAATCCCAAATCAGATGAAAATATACTTGAAACAACCCATTCAGGGTGATTTTGATTCCGTAGCTGAGCTGATATTTGTGTGTTAAAGTCAGTTTGTTTGGGTTTTTCTTGTTTTACCACTTTCCCATGTTCAGCACACCCATCCTGTCTGAAGTACTCAGCAGCACTGACTGAGAGAGTTCGTCAGATCCACTGGCAGTGTGCCTCTTGTAAAACATGTGCAATCTGTGGCAAGCGGGGAGAGCAGGTACTTGGACAGAGACATCAGACCTTTTACCAGATAAATAGCCAAGAGTTTTCACCAAGCAGATCTTTGTCACAGAACGTGGCAGTTTCTGTCAGTTTTTGAGAATTTGTAGTCATGACCACATTCACCAGGATGGGAGACTGTCCTCTCTGGTTCTGCATTCTCCAGTGAAAAGTTTTGTCAAGATTTGTTCTACCTTTGTCCATTGTTCTTTCCTAATCAGTCTCTTTCCCTCATGGCTTGTATATAGGATTATATGTCAAACTTGCTTCATGTCTTGGGTACTACTTTGACTCAAGCTGCCCATCTAGCTTCTTGTGCTCTTGATTTTCTTGGAATCGCTTGATTCATTCAGAACTCAGAACTTGAAGCTGCTGATCTATCATGGTCCTTGTTCCCATGGGTCCATAGAAATGTATAAATCCCAGTGGGGAGCAAATGGGAATTTAGAGCATTGCATCTCAAGTGCTCGTTACCTTTTTTCGAGATGCTCGTTACCTGTTGATAGTATTTTGTTGAATTGTTCCAGAGAGTCATTTCTAAGGAGCTTTCCACTTTGTTTTTCACATGTAGGAGCTGATTTCATGTGCATGGTGTGGGCGAGGATACCACATGAGCTGTTTCAAACCACAACTCAAAAGAGTACCCAAAGGTAATGTAAAGAAAGAAGATTACATGACAGCAATTTTATTAAAACTCTAACAGCTTTGTAATTAGTTTTGGAGATTTAATGTGTTCTGATCATTAGTAGAACTTTGCTGGATAACTGGAACATAAAAACACAAGATCCAGGTAGAACAAAATGACATGTTCTACTGGCTTTAATTTTTGCATAGATCGGCATGATTGACTTCATAGATCATTTTCAGTGTCATTAATTGACTTCATTAACTGTTCACGCATACTTATTCTTTAGTTGTGGGGACTATACGTGTATTGAAATATAGACCTTTTGTCCTCATAAGTTGGTCCTGACTTTCTTAACAAAAGAAATTGTCCCTGAAACACGGTGAAGGCCTCTCCTATAGTTCATGAGGAGTGTGACATGCTCTGGCAAGTTTTGTGTGCCTTGGCGAGTGACCGATGTACACTCCCTCACAGTTTTCAGTGGTTCCCATGGGTTTTTGTGCACAAGCATAGTGCCTGACTGACTGTGTGTCGTACCTTGACTTGGTATTGAGCCACGTCTGGCCATCTTAGCAAATATCGCTCTGATAGACAATGCACAAGTTTGGTACAAGTTACTCTCCAGATCAGCATTCATGGTGTCCTACTTAACATGTAGTTATAAATGGCCATGGTATCCTGGTATTTTAAAGATTCCATTTTTTTTTCATCAGGTTCATCATGAAATATAAAACTGTCCATAGGTGGTTAAGGCATCATTAGTTTCACAAACACATCAAAGAACTGAATTTCAGTCAGGTGCAGAGCAAGTGCTTACATGTGGGGGCATTGTCTGCCGTTACTCATAACAGCCTCAGGGAGCTGGCATTTATCTCCCATCAAACGACTAGAAACATGTACCACTTCCTGTGGGTGATATTTTAGGCTATCGCTTATTACTCCCAACTCTTACTGTGAAGAATTGGTGCTCAAGATAAAAAGTACATTGGCGAGTGCCTTTGCCCAAGGCCAGAGTCCGGATGTAACCATGACCCTTCCTTGATGAGATGACTCGGCTGTGCTGTCAATTTTTTAGGCAACTGTACCTAAATTAGTTCTACATTAACTCTGCCCTGGTTTCCTCGCAGGACCCTGGAAGTGCAAGCCATGCAAAACTGGCAAGTGGTTATCGTTGCCATCTTCTTCATCCGCAGTCAGCTCTGCCTCTGGTCTGAAGAGAAACTACCAGTCCAAACTGGGTAAATCCAACAAATTGAAGATCCAGTCTGTCAAATCAGCACCCCGCAGAACGTAAGTTGTCTTTTCTTGCTATTTGGACTCCGTTTGACCTATTAGATCTGTTAATAACTCATTGACATTTTACAGGTCTTTACCCCAGCTGTGGTGAAACATTTCAGAACTGGTTTCCGGTACAATTAAAAGTGCCGTAAGAGGCACAGTCTAGAAATGTGAGTGAAATAATTTGCCGGAAAGGGCAAAACCCTGTGAAAACCCTTGTGGTTTTAACGGGATGCTATAGCAATGTCACAGAAATTGTTGTAAGGCCATCCCTCTGGAAAAGTAGATTCAGCAACACCCTGCACCTGTCCTCTAGTTGTATCTCATATGGTTCTCAATATGTTTAAGCATAACTAGAATCAAATCAGGCGATGTACTCAAGTGATAGATGGGAACATTTATTACCCACACTTACTACAAGTGGTTTGCCCAATGTACTTAGTGCCTATCCAGTTGCCATTTGTTCCAGGAATGTATTACATGCTTTTCCACCTGATAGTCAACATTGCCACGTGAAACTGTAGTGCTTTTTAGGTGAAGTACTCATCTTGTCAGTTTGGGACTTGAGATCAGCTGTGGGATTCACTTTTGAATTGGTTTGCTCAACCTCGTGTCTTTGCAAATCATTTACATTATGCACAACGGCTGAGTGAATCATGGCCAGAGAGGATGTGTGTAATGAGGTTGACAGGTCTCAAAATGAGAGTGTCCAACTGATGTCACATAGGATGAAACATTGTCCCTATCAGTAATGTCCTGATTGATTCCGTTTGGCCATGAAAAGGGCATACAACTTGGATTGGTGAGTCACATTTGATTTTCTGAGTAGATTCTAAAGACGTGAATTCTTTCTGTGCAAGTACAGTAAAGATCTTACAAGTTTTCAGATGTGTACAGTGTAGGTCAGTTGAATGCCACATAAGTATAAGTTGATGCTGAGATCATGAAAACAAGAGTCATCAGACATGACCAAAGTAGGTTATCAAGTATTCATCGAGTGCAGTGTGGCAGTGTTTAAAGGACTGGATGGCTGTTAATTAATGGAACTAACTGGATGTTTGAGAGATTGGTGACTGTCAAGGTTCAATGTCTGCTGTTGTTTTGCCTAATTGTGTGGCTGTGTCTCCGTATGGGACTATGTAACCATTGCCCAGCATCTGGCCAGACAGGATGTTAGCCTGCAAAGAATGGTATGTGATGACCAGAGGCTTGGATTCTCTGGGCATTCAGGATAAGCTCGCTATCAGTGCAGGAAGAGTTAGTGGGCCCAACCTTTTCAAGCCAACAACCACTTCAGGATTCTCATGAGTATTAACTTGGAGAGGCTGAATCATCTTCTTGTATGGTGACCAAGTCATGCACATGTATGTATCTCAATCACCGACCGTGTCCCTTTGTGCTTTTATTCATGCGAGGGCTTCATGTGCCTTATACATTGACGGCATATTGCATCCAGAATACTGTCATGCCACAGGTCATTGACCTCAGGATTTTGACACGGGGTGAACTTGGATGAAGCAGGCTGTGTGGGGCAGATATAGGGGGAAATTTAGGGTAGTTCGAGGCCTGATGTGTGAGGGTGTGAATCATGACGACCTAGATTGGACAAGGTCAACCCCAGGCATCCAGAATGCACTATTCCCTCAAATCAGTCTGGAGCATTACCACATTTGGGCGTAGTTACCCTTCCTTGTGATCCAGCTGATACAGAAAGTTTCATCCTACGTCGGGGTTAATTATCTCTAGTAGGCAACGATGAATTTGAAGTCACGTTGGTACCGACACAAGCATGCTTTAGAGCATATAGATGATGTCTGTAGTGGTCTTTTTTTTGCACAGCTAATCAAATTTTTGCAAACAAAACTTTTCGGTTGGTAAAGAAAAGCACCCCTGAACATGAAAATACCCACAATCCTTTTTGGGCTGCTAGAATAGGCCTTGTAATTGGTCAGAGTGCACGAAATTTGTGACATAATAGCCCGTCCAAGTAGGGTAAAACTCCAGACTTGAAATGTGGCCTTTACTTGTGAATGCAAATTCAAAGGACAGATTCGTTATTGTTAACTCAAAATTTCTCACTGCAAATCTTACCATTTAACCGGTTAAAGTCAGATTTTCTTACCCGAAAAAGCTGTTGGGATGGGTTTTTTTTTTTTTTTCCAAAAACCTTGCAATTGTGCTTTGACCCAGCCAAGCACAATGCATTAATACATCCACCATGGAAATAAAAAGACTTCTTCCACAGTGTACACATCCTCAGTGGAACATATGAAGAAAATTATGTGTGTTTACACGTCATCTGGCATCAAGAAGTTCATTGAAACTCAAAACAAAGAGACGTTTATTTTTTACCAATGATTAAGAAATTGTCGATGTTCACATCTCATTTGGAAGAAGACGTGAAAAAAGAGCCACTTGCAACAGAAAGTTATTCAGTTGAATTTCTCAAAGGAAAGCAATTAGCTGGAAAGAATGCCCTTATTAATAATTGGTGTTGCCAGCATACATAGGTTGTCAATTTACTGCATGTCAACCCTGAGGAGAGTCCATCAATATTACAAATGCGGAAGACAGATTTTGTATTTTTATGCTTGAGGGTAGTTATTCCTGCAACGTCTTGTTCGGAAATGAAGCATGCTCAAATTAGTCAAGACATTTCGTGGCACATAGTCAAAGTCGTGTGGCATTTTGCCCTGCACCTTTCCTGTTCTTTTCTGCAAAAGTTCTCAAGATCTTGATGTTTCAAGTAAGGCTTGCCAAAGTCATAAATGTCATGCTAGCATGTTGGCATGCATCTACCGTGTTGTGAATTCAGAAGTAGTGGCTGCAAAAAACAATTCAATTAGTACATCGTGGGGTCATTTTTTTCCCCCTCATTTTGAACTGTGATTGATGGATATTATCAGAGGAGTTAAAAGGAAAGTCACACTTCCTGTACAAAAAAGGGCTGAGTTCATGCTAGTATTTCTGGATGTTGACCAACTTCTTCTCAGCACCTTGGTTTGTAGACCTGAGGGCGGGCCCACGCCTGTTGCTTCCTGCCATTGGGGTTGGTTGTACACCCTTGCCACAAGTTTTCAGTGGAGTTTCTGATGGATATTGGATGTGTGTATGGAAATGTCTCACCATCCGCCGTTCTCCCATAGGAGGGGGGATTTCATAAAGGGTTCCGAATTGAAGCTGCATGTTCAGTATTGGTGAATTTGATCCAACCATACCGTTCAGGGCTCTCAGTTTGATTTATCCTGGTAAGTGTTTTACAGGTCCCTCACTTGACATCTGGTATTTTGGGGGTGTGCAGTTTAGGGTAAAAGATTACTGCACTTCAAGCCACGCTCATTACCCTAGTAACTTACTGGGATTTTATCGAAACAGTCATAGAAAGGATTGTTCAGGTTGTTGCAGCATTTTAGCTAGCGAACCGTGCAGCCGTGTTTTGCACGGCCAGTTTTGTGAAATCACGGCCCACTTTCTCAAGCACGGCCTAGCAGTGCAAATCAAGCCGTGCACTACTTGATTTGATGATTGTGTAATCGAGATCCCCGAAAATGTGAAAGTAAAATCTGAGCTAAAATTCGGTCTTTTCCCCATGCTTTTCCCCCATCAACCAAGTCCAAACTAGAAACTACACTGCAATACATGTACGCTTGCACTAGTTCGGACGTCAGAAGGTATCAACGTCGGCAGGCGGGTTCCCATATAAATAATGAACTACAGCACTGTATCTATCAACTTGTAACAAAATGAACACAGGGAGCCATACTTGTTCACCAGCAATCAAATCATACATGTAATCACATTGTTCCCATGGCAATCATTAGCCGCCATATTGTGCCCACTCTCGCATGAGGTAGTCCATGGGGACGAGATTGACATAATCATTTCGGGGCTTGCACTATTTGCTCACTAGATCATCCAGAATGAATCGAAAAATAATGGATTTCTTCTCGAAGGCAAAGCTTGACCTACACATAACCTTTGTTATTGTCAATAATGAGCATAAAGCTTGTTTAGGTTCTTCTACCTTAATTCTGGAAAAAATTGTCGAACTCTTCCGATGCCATGTCCAGACTCGTGCACAAGTACGAGCACGTGGCCTGCCTGTGCTGTGGTTTATATGGGGGTGCATGTACAGTGTGCATGTACACGCACTATGCATGTACGACATGTATTTTTTCATCCACATGAAGTCAAGTCATGTACTCAATTTACTTGTTCTTAGCCAAATTGCCAAAGGAAGCATGCATACATAGGAAAACTAGGGTTCATTTTTATGTCCTTATTTATTTTTGTTTGCTTATGACATAATAATCTGAATGTAATGCATTGCAAACAAAAATGCATTACCTGCATACCATTTTTTTGAAAACAAAATAAAGTGGTTATGAGAAATCAGTTCAAATGTGTTTGTCATTTTTTTCTACTTTGTTGCAGGGCTGTTTAAGCACACTGTATAAAACAATAGTTGCAGACAGTTTCACAATTATTTTTTTTCTAAAAGCCATTATTTTTGTTTGAAAAGGCAACAAATCTCATGAAAAAAATGTCAGAAATTCATCAGAGACCACCAGAGAGCATCTAAAATAGCCATTGCTTCCAGGGCCCTTACGCAGGCCCTGGATCTAGGCCGTAAGGGACTTTGCGCTGCACGCTCGTGTTGCGTGCTTGGCTCGCAAATTTTGGACTCTTACAAGATTGCACTCCCTGGTTTTTTATTTTGCACTCCCACTTTTCAAATGCTAGCTCAAACACTGGGTTGTTGATCCAATAGGAGTGTTGTGCACAGCATATGTCACCTTGGAACCATAGGAATTGTATAACTTTTGAAAGGCCAAAAGTTGGGCATAGGTGTGTGTTTGGATTTAGTAAAGAATTGATAAATTGAAGGCCCAGCTTTTGTTTATTTGACGTAATTCAAAGATATGTGTCCATGATATTATAAAACCATTTGTAAATATTGCCGCCCTCTTTTAAAATGATCTTTTACGATAATATTTTTTGTAACAATTATGTGGGCTTTTTTTTAAACGAAATTTTTGCATTGCTAAGGGATTGCTTGCATGTGTACTTTCTGTCCCTGTTCATACGTGTAGGTTCCCTACTTACCAAAAGACCATATATTTTGACACAGGTTAGGCCACCGTGAACAATAATTGTTTCAGTCCTCACCCAGTGTTCAAAATCCTCATGACAAATAACGAGATTTTGATAGTGCTGGTGACCACGGAGAGCAAATATAAGTCTTGCGGTCAGATGTGTCAGAAGTTAGGGACTTCCAGGCTGGTGCGTTTTTTTATACTCATAGTTTTTGCAGTTTGGGCTGTCATGCACAGCATTGAGAAAGCCACTTTATCTCTATGATATCAGCGTTGGAAATCGCTTGATAAGTTCTTTCCTCTTATGTCACGGAGGATCGAGTTGTGGTTTACCACACTGGAGCAGAAAAAAAGTTTGCAAGAAGTTTCACTGCATATCAGACAACTTCCTTGTTTTGTAGATGTGTATCCTTCTATTAGCAGTGTGTGTTACGGAGACTACAGTTGGATTCCGTTGCCCTTTGAAGACGTGTGTGCACTGCCTAACATTAATGGAATTGCAGATACATAGCTTCCTGCTTGAAATGATTACTGTAATTACCCCTTATCTGCAAGCATTTCTGAATCAACCAGAATCAAACTCTGTGTAGTGACAATGTTAAGCATCTTATTTAAGCGGCATTTTATGCCAAAGGATTCAAAGTGTATTTATATGAAACCAGGGGCCGATTCCATAGAGCTGCTTAAGCACAAAATTTGCATAAGCGTGAAAAAACCTTACGTGATGAATAAGGTTACCAGCCAAAATTCAATTTGATGTATATCGTTTTGGCATGGTATTCACCTGTCTTTTGCTTAACATGACAATCACATAGATTTTGAGCTGGTAACCTTTGTTTTTTAAGCAAGGCTTTTTGCGCTTAAGCAAATTTTGTGCTTAAGCAGCTCTATGAAATTGGCCCCTGGACATTAAGGCCAATCTTATGATGCCACCAGTAGCTGCTGTACATTGTAAGCGTATTATCCATCAAAGCTGTGCAAGATGGAGACTCAGATTGTGTCTCCGAAGTACCAGTAGTTAAGTGTTGTTGTCTGGTTTTGCCTTGATTAGATTCCTGTTTCATTTAAATTCAAAGCGTGGTATTGTAATGATGCGGTTGAAAACTTAAAGCATGTGATGTCACATCATTCAACTATAACCACAGACACTGAGCCGCAGTGAACAGTGTTCGAATTGAAACTGTTGCCCTTCACTCTTGATGAGAATTGCTTGGGGGGAGGGGAGCTCTGAATAAATACGTGTGATATCATCGGGCGCTTCCATCCCAACCCACATGCTCTTGCATTTGCTTGCCGAAATTCCAGACTGAGTGCCAGACAGAGTCACTGCTTTCATTTCCCCCCAACACAGTCGCCCTGATCTGCATCGATCATAATTTACCGAGTGCTTTTAGCCCTGGTGGCTGTTGCTGTGCAGGTGCCAGTTCACTGTAAAGGAGGATGCACTTGATCACTGAGTCCAGCCCCCATAAAGGCCACTGTACATTGGATGATTTCCTGTTGGCATTCATTCAGGATGCAGGGACTTAATAATACGTTAGAGTGGAGGCCGTTTGTGTATTAATGAGGTGTGCTACTGTGTGTGGGCTCTTGAACTCAAGAAAAATAATGATTGCCTTTCCTCTGTGATGACTTCGCTTTTATCTCGGGTTGTTCAGTGACTTTAGTCACTCTATCATTGAAAATTTGGTTCCAAACATCATTAGTAGTTTTGTTAATACATGGTGCCATGGGTGACAATATATTTTCGAGTGCACACTTCTCAAGCCATAGATGATGTCAACTTTCAAGAACCCCGGGTATTACGACAAATCGACTGTGAAGAGCATGACTCTGTACCTTTGATCTCATGGCCGATATGTACCTGTGTTCCATCACACTCCATTCCAGACATTGACTAATGAAATTCAGGATGATTCATCAATGTTGCAAACTTGCAAGGCATTGTGCACATTGACAGCATGTCAATAGTCGTTCCTAGAAGCATAACCATTAGTAATGGCTCCTATTATCATGCAGTGTAATGCTATTGCAGGATTGGCCTATTGCTGTTTTGCTAATTTTAGCTACAGGAAGGAAGGTGATAGCCCCCAAAAGCTCATGAATATTTTGTGTTGACCATATTGCAGAGGCTGTCCATTTCCAGGGTGCAATGGAACAGGTAACACCAATGGCAAATCCAAGCTTCATAAGTCGTAAGTCTTTCTTTGTACTTGTGATGCCTTTCAAACTTAAATCATTCTGACAAACTTCAAGGAAAAATCATCAGTTTTCAACACAGTTGGAAACAAATGTATAAATAGAACAAACTGCTTGAGAGAAGGCTTTGGCCCCTTCTTTATTTTGATGTCACTGTGAACAGCAATTGCCACAATGCTGCCTGTACAGGAGAGGTATCCTGTGAACATGCAGTGCTCATGCACTGCTCATGCACTGCGGGTGCGTGGACATTCATGTACATGTATGTACAGTAGTTTAAGACAAGTTACAGCAGTGTTGTGTTCGAGTCCATCACAAGTCCTTTCACAACTCTTTTCACAAGGCCAGTCATAAGTAACGGTGATCATGTGGGAGACTTTAATAGAATTTTTTTTTTTTCCTTTTCTGCAGGCTTTTTGAGTGCCCAAGATGCCCCCCAGGTAAGCGACCCCCTAAGCCTGGTAACCGTCGGCTTAGTACCCATTCCTCGTCAACCTCAACAGGGAAAGGCTGTGCCCATGCCCCCAAATCCCCCAATGAATCCCCCTTTATCCCCAACTCCCAAGACCAGGGAGGATCTAAAGTGTCGGATTTGTCCAGTACACCACTGCTAGAGCCAGCTCAGCCCCCTACCCTGAATCTGCCAGACTGCTATGACCCCAAGTACAAGCCCCGAGGTCTGGTGGACGGACTGAGCCGATTCTTCACACCAACCAATCGCAGGAAGTCGAGGAGCTCCTCACAGTCCAGTATGACCTTCTACCCCCACAGTCCCCCGGCCCGGCCGCGACCAGTGCAGAAATCAAACAGTGATCCCACCCCTCCGGCATCTAGACCTAGTGCTGGAGCCAAACCAGCCGAAGCAGAAACCAAAGAGAAAGTCAGCAGTGCCCCTGATCAGGACACTTCGCGCAGTGTTGGCAAGCAGAGATCGAGCCTGCCACTTCTGGTGACCGGCAGCCCCGCTCCGCCGCAGCTTCAGTCACAACAGACAACCCAAGCAGCTGATGACAAGTCACATTCAAACTCCTCATCGCCACACTCGCAGATCATGCGCACGGGTAGCTCGCAGCTGAAGAGTCTGTTTGACGGCCTGTCCCACCTGTACGCAGCCCCGACAGAACCTAGGAAGCGGGGACTCTATGGGTTCCCACCCATTTACAGCCCTCAGAGGAGACCCCGGAAGACTCCCAGTACCGAGAAGGTCTCTCCAAATGGGAATAACAATAAAAAGGGTGGCTCCTTGAAATCCAGAGGAGGTCTGTCGGCCAGTGCATCCAAAATTGTCAAGAAGGCGCGAGCAATGGGATCAAAGAAGACAAGACCTGTGGCTGCTAAGACAGCACCCACCCAGAGGCAAGTAGCCGTTAAGAAACGCCCCGCGAAATCAGGAACGTCTGCCCCGACGGACAGTGCAGCATTGTCCAAGCAATCGACCAGCACCAAGAAGTCCAGTAAGCCGCCATCTGGTAAGACTTGTGCGTGAACTCTAAACAGGGCATGGTGTGCTTCCTTCCCACCAAGCTACCAATCATCCCTCCATCCTCAGCTAGTTCTCCCATTTCTCGCTGTTTCTGCTCGTGTAGAAGTAGATTGCTTGTTAGTCACTATCCTGTGTGCATCTTAACACCTTGTCAAGCCCGCTGATGCAATAACATCTAAAACAGAATGAGTTTATTTCCCAAAGTGAGCTTTCTGTCCTCGTGTAACTGCTCTTGTTTCTTTGTCTTTCCAAACTTGGGGACACTTCTTTTTCTTTTCTTTTTTTTTTCTTTATCGGTACCTTGCCTTCATAAAAAAGAAAAGAATGAAAAAAAATGACGGTCTCATAATTAATCCACCACCTGACAAGTACAACTTGGAGCAAGTTCTTCGTTAGCAGTTTGATCCTGAAATCCGTGGCCAGTGTCAGAAATGCCAAACAGATGACCTTTGTGGGCACTGAGCAAATTGTTTTTCACAGAAATTTCATGACTCATACCTAAAGGTCAGTTTGGGTCGTAACTTCCCTTGCCTACCTTTCAGATTTCCAAGAACCTCTCTTCAGAATCTTAACTTCTGAACCTGAGAAATGCAGATTGATTGATTGATTTTTTTTGCAAACATCTTGAACAGCCTTTTGAAATAATTTAGCCCATCATACAAGTGTTGAGAATACCCTCGAAAATACTAGACTTGTCAACCAGAGTATGGTTTCTGACTGGTGACATGTTCACCTGTCTTGACATAAAATTGTACTGCTACTTCCTCCTGCAAGCCCTAATGACACACTGAAACTGATCAAAGCTGGCTATTTGACACATGTACCAAATGCTCTTTCATGGTTGCTTAAGTGGAGTAAGTGCTATTGAATAAGCACATTTGTACATCCTGAACTTCTTCACTTTTGTTTTCCTTCTTGTTTTCCACTGTTTAAAAATGATGAGCAAAGCCCAAAGTCAAGTTAAATGTGCGAGTTTGAAGTTGTGTTATCAGTAGCAGTGTATGGTTCGTCCATGCGATTTTTAAAACTTGTTTTTAAAAAATGGTTGATGTTTACATGTACTAGCATTTTCAAATCCCCCCCCCCCAAAAAAAACTTGCCTAACTATATTGGTCATACATGAAGGTTTTTAAAAGATTGAACCCAAAAGCCACGTCTATCAGTGCGCAGCAAATTTGGACATTTTTGTAAACGTGCTGGCTTTTTTAAAACCAGGCTGGGCACTTGCCTCCTCTCCCCCCCCCCAAAAAAAAGGTTCAGAATAAACAAGACAAAATACAACAGAAGAGATAGAAGGGGATGCAAATCAACAAATTACTTGAAAGAACCTTGAAATTAACCCCATTCCGCTGTTGATGTTTATTCAATTGTTACTGAAGAGTGATTTGCCCCTCTGGGAATCTCTTCTTAGAAAAAGATTTCTTGCCCCCACCTTCCAACACTTCCCTCCCCCCCCCAAAAAAAACTTCCTGGTCCATGTGGGTTACCTTGGTCATCGACAGCAATCTCCTGCTACTATCTCAGACTGCTTTAACCTCCAGTGGGAAATATAACATGACAAGGCTGGGCTGGTTTCTCTCATTATTTGCCTTGAGCCAGCCCCCAGAGATTCCATTGAAGCCAGGGGCGTTATGCAAACAAATCATGCACAGCACAACACCAGCAAGTAAGGCACAGAGGTAGTCAGGCTTGAAGGATTGGTGTGATTTTTTGGGGTTCCTTCCCCAGCTTGGTCTTCTATTGTCCCGCACAATGTTTAATGCTTTGATCTTCTCACACCTTCATTTGCTCCCTCAGTATGACTGTTTCTTCTTTTTTTCTTCTCCATTTGTACTGATTGCATTTTCTGCATTATGTGTGTTTTTAATACATGTACAGTACATGACATGCTGTGCATTGTGAATACTTAAGGGTAATTCCAGAAGTTAGGGGTCCATTTTTTATGTCTCTGTTGCATCTGACATACAATTTTGTAAGTTCAGAACACATTTCTAATTTCCAAGAGTGATGAATTACTGCAAATTACCTGCCAAACAAATAGTAATAGTTTGAAATCCATTCCGGTGATATTTCCATATCAAATAACAAAGGTTAGACGTAACAGGGACACGAAAATGTCACACTTTTGGACCCCTGATTTCTGGAATTACCCTTTACATGAGCCTAATGGTGTGTGCATAGGGGGATGTGAGTTTGTTTCTGCATTCAATTGGGGACCCTGAA